TCCCTACCTCAATGGAGTACTCGGATGAACAGTAAGAATTGTCCTGGTAATAACGATCTTCTGTAACACAGATCTTGCCAGCGGTTCCTGAAACCGAGGAAAGTACAAAGTAACCGGTACAGAAGCACTCATCAGAACCATCAGTACAATCCTGAATTTTGTCACAGAGATTATCCATTGCGACACAACCCGAACCATCTGCACAGTAGAAAACAGGCGATTGGTTATCAAGAAAATTGCATTCGTCGGTTAGGCATTGGGAATATCCGTCACAGATTTGGGAGGTGTTGTTTAGCTTGCAAATGTGTCTTCGTCTCGAAAATCAGGCGGCAGTCCAAAATCTGTAAATGCTGCCAATTCTCTTGTTTTCAAAAATGTAAAATCAAAATTGAAATCACAAATTAGATTGTCACCCTCGGCACGATCGTATGTGATTTCTAGGATTTTAGGGTTCAGTTGCAAATTAATAAAGGTCTGTCCAAAGCAACGATCAGCTAGATTTTCATCTATATCATAATAAAAAACTGAACTTGACTCTGAAAGCTCCTGCTTGAAATCTGATGAGTCCCTTAGATGGGTCGTTATCGCGCTTAGTCGGGTGGTGGTGAAAAATGCGAGCAAAAGAACAACTTTAGTTGTGAGTTCTCCGTCCATCATAGCTCAGATCAGACCGACATCCTTGAGTCGACAGTAACCTGCTGTGCATTCGCAGAAATAGAAGGAATACTTATATATAAGTATTTGGACGAGGGCAGCATAATTTATTCATATATAAATATGAATAAATTGTGCTGCCCTCACCCAAATTGATATTTCTCATACGCTCAAAGTGCACCGTATATATTTTTTTAAATATTTTAGATCGCACTGCTTCAAATGCACCAATAAGCTGGCTTTATTTTTCTTTGTATAAATAAACAAATTTGAATAATAATAATGATAAAAACAAAGATTCGTACGTAAGCGTGAGTGAGATCTTTTTAAAATTATTATGTGCGATCGATCTCACTGCTTCAAATGCACCAACAAGCTGCCTTTTTTTTCCCTTGTATAAATAACATATTTCTCATACGCTCAAAGTGCACCGTATATATATATGTATTTTTTTAAAGATCGCACTGCTTCAAATGCACCAATAAGCTGGCTTTATTTTTCTTTGTATAAATAAACAAATTTGAATAATAATAATGATAAAAACAAAGAATCGTACGTAAGCGTGAGTGAGATCTTTTTAAAATTATTATGTGCGATCGATCGCACTGCTTCAAATGCACCAATAAGCTGCCTTTTTTTTCCCGTGTATAAATAAACAATTTTGAATAACAATTATGATATGTAAACAAACCACGTCATTAGTTATCAGTATTATGCCGTTTCACAGTCAAAAAATACAGCGTAACAGTTGGTGTAACATCACTTCACACTTCACGCACTCGTAGGTCTTAATTCCACACAAACCACGGTGGCTGACAATAAGCGCTCCTGAGATCCAGGGTCAAGACCCCAAAACTGAAGGGCAGTCATCACTCATCAAACCGTGGTGTGAATGGTAGTGGTTCTCGTGATAGTTGTGTCCTGACTATGGTACGTGGAAATCTGAGCGAAAGGACCGTGGCCGTGTCGCAAAAGAAAAGGAGATCGGCCCTCGTTCCTAACTTGCTAGGTTAGCCATGCTGTTGTTGTTGGATATTAGATTCAGTTACCTTTTTTCGTAAATTTGGTAAACGACCTGCTACAACCCACCGCTTGAGACCCAGGGTCCCACGGTGATCAGATCATGTCACTCAAGAAAAATCCCCTGAACGAAGTATACGAGATATGCTGTAATCTTCGGTAAATACTGAAAGACGAGTGGTCAAATTGCATATTCTAATCCAACATGCCAATCTGTTCGAGATTCCTAGAAAGTTCGAGAATAACTAAACAACTGCTGCATTCTGATGGCTACATCTACTCTGTGAAGAAGGACAAGGAAACAGCCCCCCCCCCCCCCCCCCCCCCCCCCCCCCATTTGGCTGGCGGTGCTGCAACCTGCAATCCCTCAAACAACTCCCTCGTTGTGGTTAACAAACTCCGCAACAACTAGGCAGCTTTCAAAACAAAAATGAGTGTTAAGTAACCGGCCGAGATGGAGGGGGGTTTCCAAATGATTACGATAGTGTAATTTTAAAATAATACATAGCTATGTGGTGGGGGAGGGGGGGGTCAAAAATGTCCAATAAGTGATTACGTTATATGTGAACGACCCCTAAGAAGGAAAGAAAGGAAGCTGCGAAGGATACAGCCATCTGAAATCTGAATCCAGCAGTTGTATAATTCTTCTTAGACTTTTTATGAATCGGGAAAAGATAGACATGTTGTTTGTTGTCCCACAACATTACGGTCATGTACTAACAGCTAATGAACTCACCTACCTATCAATCAAATTCTGCCCATAATTTGTCACTGATTGGGTGACGTGATCTGCAGATCACCGTGAGACTCCAGATCTCAGGAGGGCTAGTGGTCATCCACCCGTGGTTTGCGTGGAATCAAGACCTACGTGTGCCTTTCTTGATTGTGGAACAGCATGATACTGATAATTAATGACGTGGTTCAACTTCCGAATGGGTCGTTATTGACCCAGTTGATCGATTTTAAAAGTTAAATTAACGTACAGGAGTAATGACCAAGATATAACATGTTTTTATACTAATATTTGTAAAAGTTTGACAACATTGTATTTATAATTAATCAATTTTGTGGTCCTAGTGGGTCGCTAATGACCCATTTAACCGGTTTTTCGCAGTCTATGATGATGATCACTTGCTGAGAGGCGATTTTGCACTTATGATGTCATTTTGTAGGCTGAATTCAAGAAGCTACATGCACATATAATGTAGTAATAAGCAAGTGAGCCGAGTGGGTCGTTAATGACCCAAATTCTTTATTTTTTAAAGTTAGAGTCACACAGTATTGACCATATGTTTTTAACTTATGCTACAGTTTTTATTTTATCCTAAAGTCTTTGTTTCAGAAGTTAAATCGTGATGGGTCGTTTGCGACCCGGACGAGTGGGTCTTTTGCGACCGCACTTGGCAAACAGTGTCTAGCTCTGTTTGTGAACATCTGATTATCACGGGCTTTTCACTCGTCTCTAAAAAATGGTTGCCCGCAACTATTTTGTTCTCAGCAAAATAAGCTTAAATAAAGTTCTAATGCCCCAATCAAGGCAAGAAGTTAAGTGAAATATTTTCCAATTATGACGACTAATTAACCTAATTATTTAAGTGTTAGTGATTAATTGGGTCTCGACTGGAAAGTCAATAATGTACCCCAATAAATTTTGAGCATATGTGCGAAAGATTCTTGGCGTTTAGTATTTTGGTTGGTCATAAACGACCCCATCGTCCCTAATGGGTTAAACACGGGTTTTCATAATTACACATGTCCTGGATTATTATACATTATGCCTTTACATAATGTGACCTGTGTCACGTTATCATTGTACATTATATCGCAATTCTCTGTTAATTATTACACAACTGAAAACTACTCTAATTTTTACACATTGTGTTGACATAGTGCATAATGATGTACTATTTGTTTTATGTTGCTTTTAGGTCAGCTGTTACCTATAATAGTGCGGCACATTACTACAGGTTTTGTGCTTTGTAGGTACTACAGGTACATGTATTACTATTACAGCGTGACTATTGCAGCTAGATGACAGGTCTAAACAGGTTCACACTAAATTCTCCAGACACCGTACCAGGTTCACCAGGTTCCGTATTTAACAAGGCTTCACTTCCAGACAAAGAAAGGGTTCGGAGCCTGCAATAGCATGGCCTAGTCTTACAACTTTCCCTGTGTCGCTTGTGCTCTGCTACATTCTGCTATAATAAGTAGGTTTAGTACAGGAAGTGCTCTTGCATCTTATCACACATATTTGTAATATTTGTATAATTTCCCACGTCACGCTGTCAGAGAGAAGCAGTAGAGTGCTTGTAAGAAAAGGTAAGCTCAGTTGCTGCTATGTTTTCTGTGGCCAGGTTATTTATTCTACTACTACTACGAGGTCTCCAGCCTTGCTCAATTCCGTTACTTTATGCCAGGTGACGAGACATTTACTTTTTATTTAGAGCATCTAATTTTGAACCAGTATATTCCCGTCACAATTTTGTTTTGTTTTAGGTTAGACTGGTCGGGGTTTCTCCAGTCATATACTATACTATACTTTTAAATAAATATTACTTATATTTTGTATATTTAACTCTTAGCATCATATAAGTAGTGTGTTTAATTCTATCAGCACAGAACAGAGGTACCAGGAAAACTTACCCGCCTTTTCTAACTGGTTCAGTTCTGTGCTAACGAAGTTAAAGTATTGACAAATGCCACTATTTTAGTTTCATGAAATGCGTGCTGCCTTTCAACTTGAGTTACCGGTCTAGATTTTTCTAATGTTATTAAAATACGAACTTTTGCTAAAAGTAAACTGTTACTAAAACTGTTGACAGAAGATGAGCCTTGAAAACTCTGGTACAAAAGTAGGCCAAATGTCTTATTGCAGGCGTTGAAAAACTCGCTCTGTGAAGCCCTGCGCATGCTAAGAGTAAAGTCAGCTGAGGCAAGGATACTTGTTTATTTTATATCGCACTTTTACAATAAGCAGTTCTATTGTTGTTGTTTACTTTTCCGTTCTAGCATAGTTTTTTGTTCCTTAAAGTTTAGACGAAATGATTTTGCGACTTTTAAAATCATTTTAGATGGTTACAAGGGTATTGTAAAATTAAATTTGCCGCTCCGCAAGATGATACGTTTTTATGTTAGATAAGGTTTACTGTTCGTTGTTCATTTGAAAGTGCTCTCTAGATAATTGTTGAATTATTCAGTAAAAAACACGAAAAGGTTGTCCGGAAATGTTGATAAATGTTGAAAGTGGCGAAAAGATTGTTACTACAACCATTGGCACAATTACCACTGCTTCTTCACTAAACAAATCTTACATAAATACTCACAGTTTGAGGTTGGTCAGGAGAGAGACCCTTGAATACAGAAGTAAGAGCGCTCATATCAGAGCAACTCTCCCCAAGGGTCCCGGCATTAGATGATATATTGGGGCCCACTCCCCCTAACACACTGGTACTCTGCTGCTGTGATACTCCCAACATTGTGCTTCTTGCTCCCTATCTTGCTCCTTATCTTGCTCCTTATCTTGCTCCTTAACCTGCTCCTTTACTTGCTCCTTAACTTGCTCCTTAACTTGACTTTCGGAGTGACCTTTACATCCAGTTACTTTCCACTGTGTGTCTGTTAGTGGACTTCATGTCATTATTCTCATCCTACATCTGGGACAGATAGTTGTTAGAAGTGCACGTATTAGTGCACAGGTGCACGTACTGTTGTGCACGTACTACTGTGCAGTGTGCACTTACTGCAGCAGCTGCAGCTGGTAATTACAACCAATTGACAGGCACAATCTGACACTGCTTCTTATTAACGTAGTGCTCTGATTGTTCTCACCAATTCCCCTGCCATTTTATTGTCACTGTGTAACTTTACCATTATTATGTGCAGATAAATATTACAGTTTGATTACCAAATTGCAGCCCATTTCCGGGTAGGTTTGGGTGATAGTGGTTGGTACCGGCAATCAGCAGATTTCCGCATTACCGCGGTATACCGGTCGATTGTTTGCAGATTTGCTTATTACCGGTTAATAGTTTAAATTTCTACGTGACAGGTTCATCTTGGTACCTTGATCTTTACCGGGTCATTTGGTCAGCTAATTTTCGTAATGTTCATTATGTTCGACCCAGATCCCTGAAAGCTGCCAAATGTTTCACCTTCTATTAAAGAGTTATAATGGGGAATATAAATTGTGGATCATGGTTGAATTTTTGGTAAGTTCTCATCTTGTTTTTAACTGATGCTTACCAATGGCCGTCTGTAAAATCTCATCTTTCCATCGTGTATACTTATGGTTTTATGTTACACGAGATCCGACCATTCAACCATCGCATCTACTCAACAAGAATATTTGACCATCTTTCTGTTCGGTTAATGTATTATACAATCAAGCTTTGAGTTATTCTGCTGATATTTGTGTTTGCCCTACCTTATGCAGTACATTTTTGTTCCCTGAGATGTTTATTTCATGTTTGTAAGCTTGTTGTACTTTACAAATCGTCGGACTCTGAATTGTCAGCTTAAGTTTTTATTTCAGATATTTAAGGTTTAATCACCTTATAACTGGTTCTATCAGCACCTTTACTGGAGCTGAACCAATCTAAATTGTTCTAGATAAAGGAAGCAATCGTGGCAAAGTTATGAGCTGTTTGGATATTCACATTTCTAATTATTGATCTGCATATATTATTATAAATTAAACCATCTGCATCGTCTAAATAATTTATCGCTTACTCTATGTGAATTTTTATACAAATATCGTATTATGTACAATTTAGCAAAAATTACTAAAGATGAAAATCTTCGCATTAAAATGACTTCCACGTTATTAAACTCAAACTCAATAAATTACAAAAACTTTCATCTGCATTGTCTTCTTTGTGGTGTTCTGAAGAATGCTTTGCCTGCAACTGTCACTCAACCAACGTAATTCTGTCCATATCATTTAAGTACTTAAGTAGTTAAGCCTTAATTTTTATCAAATTAGCACATTTTGCAAAATAGTTTAGTTCTGTTTAGTGCGCCCGCCACTTTGAAGGAATGCTGGACGAGGTGGTTTAGGAGGGGGCGTAGGTCGGAGAAGTCTTTCTTTAGAACCAGATGGGGATCCACCTCTGAGCTCCAAATCGTTCATGAACGTTTCTTGATTTGTTGTTATGTTAACCTTCTTCAGCGTTCTTTGTCTCCAGGAAAGTTGTCTTGTGCCACTTGGCAAAGAAGGTAACTTTTTCAACTCATCTTCGGCGCCTCCTCTTCGAGGTATCTTTGGCAATGCTTTTAGTTGTGGAGATTGTGGTTTTTTCGCAGCCAGACTAGCAAATACTGGCTGCGATAAGTCAATCACTTTCTTCTCCAAATCATCAGCAAACAGCTTCAGATCGTTTAATGTTGGCTCCTGAGGATTTTGATCTATTCTTTCACTGTGAATATCTTGAATTGCACTGTGAAGAAACTCAATATCTTCTTTCAACACACTGTGCTCGTCACGAAATGCTGCCTGAATATCAGTCACGATCTTGTCGATTTCAAAAGCAGACATACTGTCTCTGTACAGAGAGAGGTCAGTAGAAGTTGATGACTTCTTCCCTGTTACAGACCTGCAGGGAGTTAACCGCCCATTACTGGAGTCTGAGGTGCTGGGTCTCTTGGCCTTCTGAGTTGCATACTCATAAACTTCCTTTCTCTCATTTAGGAAACTCTGCAAAAGATGATTTTTCGTAGCATCTAGATTACCAACAAATTGCTGTATTCGAGATACAAATTGCTCTCTCAAGAAGGGAGATTCAGGTAAACTGTCTTTTTTCTTAATTGGAGCAGGTTCTTGTGCCTCTGACTGCCAAATGTCTAGCAACAAATAAATTTCTTCGAACAGCTCATTAGATTGCTCAATCAGGTCATCTCCAATAATGTGCTTGATTTCTGACAATTCAACTGTGGGGGCATACAATTCTATCACAGCCCAAAGGCTCTGAGGTACTTCGTACGGTGACCATTGACTCAGCGCCATCAAAACATCCTGAAAATATGGTTAAATTAACAAGATATAGATTTTTACAATAATCAGTTTTTAAAAATTATTGCATAAAGCATAAATTCAAGATTTCATAAATTATAACCATAATTTTGTAATAATTAGAATTTTATATTTCCAGGTTGGCACATGATGGCAAAGTTATGAGACCTGCACGAACGTTATTCAGTTATGTGCGGTATGCTTTTCAAAGTGGAGCCATTCAGCAAGTCAATCAAGTAGCCAGAAGGCAGCCACTACTAAAAACTGTGATATTTAGTGGTACAGTGGGCACAACATGTATTTATCTGGCTAAACACTACAAAGCAAGCTGCAAAAGTCCACAAATAGAAATGGAGCAAGAAAACAGTGAAGTTATAAAATACAAGTCTTCAAAACTGAAAGAAAACTTTTCTGCAAAAGCATCTCTTGAGTATAATGGGGAATATTTCATGACAGGGAGAGATTTCATAGAAGCTTGGATTACTGATGATTATTATGAAAAGGAAAAGATTGAACTTTATGATTCTGAGTATGAAGTATTGATAAACTCAGTTAAGGTTAAAGAGGAGCCTTCCTTTAACATGCTCTTTACATCAACAGCACTGATATCTTATCCTGACTACGTTTTCCTGCGCTCAATCTTACAGAGACCAGATGATTTGTCTGTGAAAAGTTTCCAAATGCTGGATCTAGATCTAAATGGGTCCATATGTATCAATGAATATTACAGTCTCAGCAAGCTGTTTACCAAGAATGATGAGGGTGATCCAAAGAAACATTTGAAAACAACATTACGTGTGCTTCTATTTGATCACACAGATGATGGAAAAATAACACAACCAAAGTTTGAAATACTTTTGAAAGATGTTCAAACAAACTGTTTAAAAGCAGAGTTCAACAAATATCGACAGAGAGAAAATAAACCAGGCATGATATCAGTTCAAGGGTTTATGAGGGCAATGTTGAGAAGAACCAAAGTTTCAGCAATCCAGAGGGCAAGATTTATTGATAAATCTGAGGTTTACACGGAACTTGATGCTATTACCTTCACCCAATTCCAGTCAATGATCACACTATTGAATAATTTCAGTGACTTTGAAGTTGCAGTGCGAATGTATCAAATAGCAAAGAAGCCACTTGCAAAAGGTGTTTTCAAACGGGCTGCATTCATATGTACTGGAGAAAAGCTTGATGATGAAATTGTTGACGTACTATTTTATATATTTGATGAGGCAGGAGATGGACATCTATCACATTCAGAGTTTGTTAACGTTATGAAAGAAATGGAAACAAATGTTTCTTCACAAAGAGAGAAGCAACACACAATTGGACAGTACTTTCGAAAGTGTGTTCGCAACGAAATGTTGAGATCTTATGCTTGAGTACCATCGGGATTTAAAATTATAGGTTTCGATCAAGCCCAGTAAATAACTATATAATATTTTCAATCTTTAATGTTTTGATCAGTATTTCTCAATCTGTACAATGAAACTAGTAAATTTTTGATTTCTGACTAATATACAGTGTTTCCAAAAAGCTCCCAAGCTTTCATTCTTATTAACGTTTCAGACTTGCTAACTAGCATGTTGTAAGCACTTTACATAATCAACTATGTCAGTCATAAGAGGGACACCAGTAATATAAGAAACAAAGCAAAAATTTTAACAAATTCCTGGAAAAAATCAATGTTTTTGTTCAAAGCCTAAAAAAGTACTACAAAGGCAACATGTTTATTCACCATTCAAACATCGAGAGCTAAATTAAAAACAACTGTACCGAATCAATTATTAATGGCTGTGTTTGGTCCTGTAGAAATATATTGTTTTTAATTCTAGCCGGTTAAAGATCTATAGCGAGTTAAAAAATTTATTTTATCTAAAATTTTTGAGCATTAGCAATTATGTTGTAGCGCGATGCACTACTGGGTCGCGCGCGCATCAAATAATGCTTCTCGCAACCACAAATCGGCGAGATGCGAAGGATTGACATCGTGAATCAAGCAATTAGCAATCCCTACACTTCCAATTTCAAAATATTGACCTGAAAATCTTTTTGACACGAGTGCGCGGCTCCCCCTGTATCATAGAAACTCTACTATAGTGAAACGACATTGGGGGTCACGTCGTCACGACGTGATACAACAAATTTCGGGGTGATTGCTCGAAAATGTGAAAAAATACGTCCGCGTCCTTTAAATTTGAATTAATTTATCCTTCACTGGCGCGGCTCAAGAATGATATAACACATTTTATTTAATCAAAAAATAGTGTTTTCTGGGTTTAAATTCATTAATAATGGACAAATTTAATTTTTGTGCCATGGCGCGCATTTTTTATATATTTTTACAAAAACAGTACGCGTTCAATTCAGTTTACGCAGCGCATACAATAAATGTATTTAATTGGTTTCAGCAATTAAGTTATATTGTATATTGTATTCACTTGTATCACGTGGTGACCCCCACGGTTGCTTCACTATAGTGTAGAGTTTCGACGATACAGGGGGAGCCGCGCACTCGTGCGCGGCGGGTCATACAACGTATAGTAGAGGCTCTTACGGGCAAAAAGACGTGTTTTCTGCTACGAGTTTAGAGACCTAACCGCTAATTGGACACAATAGTATGATGTCTAAGGATCGATAATATGTTAAGAAGTATAAATTTGGCCTTATTAGTCACGTGCTATACCAATGCGCGTTTTAAACTTTGACAGTCTATTACTCTAAGGCAAATAGAGCAATTATATTCATATTTTGTCAGCAATAAGATTACATTATTTTCTATTTAGTGTGAAAATATGAGTTAGAACGGACATAATCTCGCTGTGTTATAGCTGTTTGAAATTTATGATGAACGCGCAGGTGCCAATTGATAACAACTAAATGCTTTTGCGCGTAGTGCGCGTCGAAAATTTGGCAAAAACGCTTGCGGAGTGACAATATTCAAACTTCGATAAAGTATATAAAGTGGGTACTTCTCGGAAAGGAAAAATTTAGGCAAACACGATGTGACTATTTTTGGGTTGATTTAATACAACTGCAAAAAATTATTCAAACTTCAAGCAAAAAAGTCAAAATTTTTACCACTTTTTTGGATTTTTACCTCAGAACAAATAGAGGGATTTGTTTTATTTTTATACAATCTTGTGCGGCTGTCTTTCAGCTATCTTTATGCAAGTTTTGCCGACATGCCAACAAAATTAACTTGCTCAAAATATCAAAAAACATGGTTTTTTGGCCTATTTTTGGCCCAAAAATCGGTTTTTTGCGATTTTACCCCAGAACAATCAGTCCAATCATCTTGAAACCACTTTCAATCGATTCTACGGTCAAAAATACGTCTAGTAAGGTGTATCTGGGGTCCCTAACGTATCGAGCAGACAATGCCCGTAAGAGCCTCTACTAGTATGACAAGTACTCACCTATACTAGCTAGAAAATTGTTTAGCTGTATATTTTATATAATATAGCGCAAGCACCGATCAGCGATTATAATTAGTTAGTTTTATAAATTATTTTATGTGCAGCGTGGCCCAGTAGTTGGTAGTGCATTTTGCTTATAGCTGCAGCCGCTACAAAATCAAAAATTAACTTGATCATTGATTGATTGCACTGTTGAATGTTGTAGGTTTATATTTATAACCTACCAGGACGCGCGCCGAGTATGGAACAAATATTTTACGAGTATCACCCGTTAATGTTGAATGTCAACCCATCAAGTTACTGGGCCGCGCTCAGCCTGTCATTCCGCCAAATCTATATTCGCCAAATCTATATTATGTTAATGAACATAATAGCCTGGGGTCCTCAGGTAACCCATCAAGATCAGTTTTTTTAAAGCAAGAATGCAAAGCAAAATTACAAATTAATTATTTATTTTAGGTCGCGTACCGTACGCGTAGCACGTTTAGTTGAAGCGGCAAAGTTCTCCTTACTGGGCCGCGCTCAGCCTGTCATTCCGGCTAATCTCTATTATGTTAATGAACATAATAGCCTGGGGTCCCCAGGTAAAGTCCTCCAAAACATTAACATGATCAATATGCACACGATTTAAAATTAATAATTTATACTATACAAAACTCGCTAGTACATAGTACAGTTTATTGTTTACTGGGCCGCGCTCAGCCTGTCATTCCGCCAAATCTATATTCGGGCTGAGTGATTTACGACCTCCATCGCCTCAGAAAAAATGGCAGTACGCTCATTGGAAGTTGATGTGCGCGTGACCAGCATTCACGTGATCATTTAGAACCAATTGGGGCCTCAGAAAAGACACGTGCACGCAAACTGCCAATTGGAGAAAAGTAACGTATTAGCTAGAGGAGCCGCGCGATGAGTTAGATTGTAAAATTTGATTATTGGATTGTAAAATCGAGCGATATGAGTGTCATCAGTGATGTGCTGCTCACTGCACCTCGTGTTATCACACTGCACAGTTACATCGGTACCTCCTTCATGTTTATGTTGTTCCTGTAGTTAAAATATATTTTGATGACCTTTTCTTGCTCGTACGACATTTTAAAAAAATCGTCCAGTTGTCTACACTTGTTTATATTTGCTGCCCGACATTTACTTCGTTTAAAGACCCTAGCGAAAGATGTTAGCTTTACTTAATATCAAAGTAACATGGTCCTGTCATGACTACCACTCTGATGAGGGATGGTTTAGTTTGTCAATTTACTGGGCCGCGCTCAGCCTGTCATTCCGCCAAATCTATATTATGTTAATGAACATAATAGCCTGGGGTCCTCAGGTAATTTATTGTTTGCTTTTCTGTTGTTATAGAACAAGAAGCTTGGAAAAAATATTTTTCGTGTACTTTGTAATTCAACGTTTGACTATTATATAATTGACATGGTAAATTAGTAAACAGCAGCTCAAAAGAAATCGAAAACAATTTTTTCATGTTGTAAACTACATCATAATCTTAAGTACTAGGGATAGATTTATATGCGATTTCGAACATCAAAGAGGAATTATAATGAATGATATTACTTCATGATCACTTCAAAATACTAATGACAAGTTTTTTAAACATCCTATCCTGTCTACCAACATTTTAATGAATATGTGTTCCTTCCTTTATTCTTTTGAATGGAACTGTTTGTATACTACAAATAGTGATTGTAACTTAGAGATAAACTGCTATATTATTATATTTTTATATTTTTGTACCAATGTTCACCTAACTTAACGTCTCTCACTACACTGACACCATTGCCCGGCAATCAATTTTAAATTAAATTTTATTAACGATCTGACTACAGACTAGCGATCAACGTTCCCTGTAGCTCAACGGAGGGGGTAATCAGGGCACATGTTAATGAAAAATGTATGTGTCCTTCCACAATCCCTTCTGTTGGGTCACACGTTTATTGGGGACTGAGATCGCTAGCGTGTAACTAGAAGCAGTATATGTAAAGTAACATAGGTGATAGGTGATAGGCAATATGAAATTACAAATCTTATTTTATCCCATGGACTTATTAATTAATAGTTAGGGAATAATGCAAAATATCTGGGAAAAAATTTGCGACAAGCTGATTTTTACAGGAATGTGTTGTCCATAGTGTCGGAAACCACCCCAAAGAGTTTTGAATCTGGATCTGTTGAGCAAAAAAAGTTACAGCCAATTTTCTTCAGACGCGTATGTCAGCCTGAGGACCACACTTGAAAAACTCGTAACTATCGTAATAAAGACCCCCAGGAGCATTATAGGGGGTGCAAAATGACCGCAATAGTGACATTATGTGGGGCGAATCAGTGTTTTAGGGTCGTCAGATCTTTACTTATTGAGATAATTTCATTTTTATAGGCTAACCTCTCAAAAATTTACTAAAATTTTGAAATTTTACTTAAATTTGGAAATTTAGCAAAATTGTTGTAAAATTAAAACATTGTCTAGTTATCAGTATTCAAATTCTAAAATTTACTTTCAATCGTCAATTGATCCTTATATTAGTATAGTAAATAATATACATATCACATCAAATTCTGTAAAAAAAGGTCCTGAATTATTAGCATGGTGTCTTTGATTGGCAACTATTAGGTCACTTCTGGCTATCCCATTTCCTCGGAGTTGTTTGATTCTCCTGAATCGTCCTGTCTTTCGGGTGCATTAGTGCAACTTAATCCATGACATTGGCCACATGCAGGTAGACATTTAAAGCCATACTTCCGGCAGGAACACCTTAAGTACTTACAAGGGTTCTCAACCTCCGACGAGCAATTGCAGCAAATGAGGTTGAGCATCCCTGCCGGGGCAATCGCAGCTTTAGTCGGGATTGGCCGGTAGTATCCTTCAGAACTCATCTCCCATCCATAATGTAGTGGATTTAGACTTGCAGTGTCGAGTGTCACCCAGTTATGGTACTGAAGATATGATCTTAATATATGCTCAGCTGCAGAGGATGTAGACGGCGGTAGCCTTGATGGGTTGAGTTTTTTCTTTGCTATCATTCTACTGTAGCTGAAAATCTGAGAGTTTCAAGTGCCTTGGTTTTATCTCCATAGATATGTTGAAACAAGGAGAGGCCAGCTTCAATGACTTCATTTGTTGAAACTCTCACAGAGAGTAATGATGCTAAATGACCCTCCTCATGAAAAGAAACTGAAGTTCGAGATGTTATCGTCGAACAGCCGCACAGCTGCTCTTTGGACAACTTATCATGGTTTCATTTGCTTAATAAAAGATTTTATAAGAGCAGAACGGTTACATGACTTCGATCTACATCTTGCAATTGTGGCTAAGATGTTGCCTATCTTTGCAGCAGCAGGTCGAGGTCAGTACTCCAAAGCTCTACGGCTGTATCTTGAGCAGATTACCGTACTTGAGGTTCAGTATGGGGCACTAGTCAAAACGTTCAAGGTCGTAGGTCTGCACACAGTTCGATATAATGAACACGAGTGGTCTGGTGTGTGGACAGACCTGTCGATCGAACAGCGACTAATGAAGGCTGCAAAGTCATCAGGGGGTTTGTCTGAAGGGAGAATGCGAACTCATGAATCTGCCCATAAGTTATGGACTGCAACCCTCAATCAAATGGCGTTGATAAACGAGAGTGTCGATGAAGCTATTGCAGACTTATCCAATAAAAGAACAACAACAAAAGCCTCTAGTGCTAATCACTCAGATCTTAGCAAATCTTCTGTACAGAAAAATATTGCAGTGTTTACCAAGCTGTTGTGTTGGTTTAAAGATACAGCTGATTTCGACGAATCTGAAGACAAGACTAAAATGCTATCGTACTCAACGGGTCTCATATCACAGAAAGATAAGGATAATTTCAACCCAGAAGATTGCATTTCAGTTGGTACTGCCCTCCAGAAAGAGCTGGATGGCAAAAGCTTTATCGATAAGTTTCGAGTTAAAGGCAAAGTCGGAAACTTGACCCTTCTAAAGAGGACAGTGAGGGTGAACGAAAAAGACATTGTTATAGACTCATTGACAATTTTTAATCGGCTTGTCTTCGCATCTGAACGAGAGTCTACACTGGAGGAAAGCTTGCAATATGAGCTCACAGCAATGCCGATGAGTCTTTTTAACAATGAGCAGAATCTGCTCATCTGATGATGAGAAAGGCAAACAAGGCAGCCCTTGGGCAATACCTCAAGAATGTTGTTGATTGTACTGTGACATTTAGCAACCCATCCTCCCCATTAATAATTGATAGTGGATGGCTACTCTATCAAGTTACCTCGTTCACAGGCTTTGAAACATACGGCGACATAGCTAATGAATACCTTAAGCTAGTTCCGAAATCCGAACAGCGAAAAGTGATTGTTGTGTTTGATGGCTATGCCCGATCAACAAAAGATCATGAGCATCAGCGAAGAATCAAGGCATACTGCTCTGATATAGCTATTAAAAGTACTACTGTGTGCACAGTTCCGACGAAAAAACTGTTCAGCAACTCAAAGAACAAGCATGAGCTTATAAAGCTTCTTTTGAACGTTTTTACAGAACATGGAATTGAAGTACATGTAGCTGCTGATGATGCTGATACCATGGTAGCTAGTAAAGCTTTAAACTTGTCCTTCTACGAAGATGTTGAGGTAAAAGCAGAGGATACTGATATACTTTGCCTCCTTATTCATCATTTTACTGAGGATCACAATAAAATTGTGATGACGACCAGAAACGGCTCACACTCGATCAGTAAAATAGTAAATGCTCTTGATGCCAACATAAAACGCATATAACTGTTTGTTCACAGTTTCTCAGGATGTGACACGGTCAGCAGTATACATGGCTTTGGTAAGGTGAAGATATTGAAAAAGGCAGTTTCTTTTCATGAGGAGGGTCATTTAGCATCATTACTCTCTGTGAGAGTTTCAACAAATGAAGTCATTAAAGCTGGCCTCTCCTTGTTTCAACATATCTATGGAGATAAAACCAAGGCACTTGAAACTCTCAGATTTTCAGCTACAGTAGAATGATAGCAAAGAAAAAACTCAACCCATCAAGGCTACCACCGTCTACATCCTCTGCAGCTGAGCATATATTAAGATCATATCTTCAGTACCATAACTGGGTGACACTCGACACTGCAAGTCTAAATCCACTACATTATGGATGGGAGATGAGTTCTGAAGGATACTACCGGCCAATCCCGACTAAAGCTGCGATTGCCCCGGCAGGGATGCTCAACCTCATTTGCTGCAATTGCTCGTCGGAGGTTGAGAACCCTTGTAAGTACTTAAGGTGTTCCTGCCGGAAGTATGGCTTTAAATGTCTACCTGCATGTGGCCAATGTCATGGATTAAGTTGCACTAATGCACCCGAAAGACAGGACGATTCAGGAGAATCAAACAACTCCGAGGAAATGGGATAGCCAGAAGTGACCTAATAGTTGCCAATCAAAGACACCATGCTAATAATTCAGGACCTTTTTTTACAGAATTTGATGTGATATGTATATTATTTACTATACTAATATAAGGATCAATTGACGATTGAAAGTAAATTTTAGAATTTGAATACTGATAACTAGACAATGTTTTAATTTTACAACAATTTTGCTAAATTTCCAAATTTAAGTAAAATTTCAAAATTTTAGTAAATTTTTGAGAGGTTAGCCTATAAAAATGAAATTATCTCAATAAGTAAAGATCTGACGACCCTAAAACACTGATTCGTCCCACATAATGTCACTATTGCGGTCATTTTGCACCCCCTATGGTGCTCCTGGGGGTCTTTATTACGATAGTTACGAGTTTTTCAAGTGTGGTCCTCAGGCTGACATACGCGCCTGAAGAAAATTGGCTGTAACTTTTTTTGCTCAACAGATCCAGATTCAAAACTCTTTGGGGTGGTTCCTGACACTATGGGCAACACATTCCTGTAAAAATCAGCTTGTCGCAAATTTTTTCCCAGATGGTCCTGTATTAATGTTAATTGTCCCTAACTATAAGGGCTGGTGGTGGTGTCATCGTTTGTCGTACTCAAACGGCGGCTTTGATGTTAGCTATTACAAGTTAGGCAGCTGCCGATAAGATGCCGCGCGCGTTCAGCGTACGGCTTTTCGTTTTTGATTTTACAAAGCAACTTTTAATGATTATTAATGAAATTATCCGATATTTATAATTCAATATGTATTAATTCTTCTGTGGAAAATAGCAATTTTATTTTACTAAATTGTATTTTACTAACATTATACGGTAAATGATAAGTAAGATTGAATTTAATTGATGAACTTTGGTCGTATAATAGCTGTGCCAAACTTTCGACCAATTATAATGAGTAAGGGTATGTTATCTACACTATATTGGGAAATGGTCATTATGAATATTTTTAGTGAATACTATTGTTAGTTCAAACTTATCATTCCGTTTTACAGTTGATACCTAGTTATCCTATTGCGATTTGGTGGTCAAATATGTTTTAAATCTAAAAGTGTGACAAGATTCTTTTGACACTATTTCTGTTTTATGAGATATTGTGGATACTCAACATCCTCAGATATCCGAATTGATGCTTTTATATACTTTTAAGTTGAATGATTGGTGACTATTTATTAGCCGAATATTGTATGTTGCCAGTTGGATATGTTTTCTAGCAGCTGGTCTGCTGATCAAATTATACGCCAAAATATTGGAAGAATAAAATTAGTTGATCATTTCTCTGTCACAAAAACTTCATCAGAACTCAAATCATTTGTTGTATAGTAGTGTTGAAAGTATACTTTTACTGGTATTGCTATAGTTTAAATCTAATGTATAATATTGCAACTAATCTCACACACACACACACACACACACACACATACAAAGACACAAAGACACAACTTCTATTAGCTGTCAGTTATTTTATTAAAGTCGAAGTTTGGGTATGTCATCAATTGAACAGATTTTTTCTTTTACATCTTGTTTTAAACATGTGCTCTGTTTTCCCCTTACAGAAGCAGCAAAAAGAGAAGTGTGACAAAAAAGAAAACTTTAATTAGGCCCCCAAATTCTATTGGTTGAGTTTGTTTGTAATTTACATTTATTTTACACATATTTTGTTAGCTTAATTCAGAACGATTTGGTATAACAGTTGTCTTAATCAGTTATAGTTAGTATGATGTAGTGGACGATACTTATTAGCCTTTAAAGTGCATTGGTTCATTTTCCAATGGACCACAGCCACTGCAACAAATGCTTCTACACTTACTGCACGAAAAGCGAGGTAAGTTTGCTAAGTACCTTACTCGGGATTATTATAACCGGGATAAAGTGGTGGGTTTTGGAAGATTCCGCCATATTTTTCCCGGTCAAAAATTTTACCAGTCATAAAAAAACCCGCCGACTCAGATTATGGGGTTCCAAGGGGGTGGTGATCATCATATTTTACCTGAAGTCTCATATGTGCTAGAGAAGACTTCTGAGGCAGTGGATGGAGGGCTGTAACTTTATTGGCGGTTGCTACCATAATTTCGTTATAAAAATCACAATTTGGTTATAGAAATCAGATTTCAGGGTAGACCGTGATTCCCACTTTTCTTGCCCATGAAGTGAGTAAACTGTGCCACTATTTCATGGTCCACGGTGGATTGATTACTGGAGCAGTTGAAGATGCAAAGCCAAGACGTTCCCCAATACCATGCGGTGGGCAGGAAATTAAGCTCCGGCTGACCTTCAGAGCAGTAGCCCCATTAGCGGACAAAATGAAAGTCTTGTTAAGACAACAATACAACTTCGAATTTGACGGTCAGCAGCAGGGGGATATCAATAATGATAATGGAGGGGACATTAGCGATAATGAGAATGAGAATACGCTTTAATGAAGATTTGACTTATTATTGCTATAGATTTATTTTCTTTTAAATACTAGACGTGTCTTTTTTTCTATTTCTGAGTAATATCAGTAACTGTAAATTGAAATAACTTCTTTAACAAGTAACAAAAACAGAAATTTCGGTTGAAAATTTGTTGACCTCTGAAAAAAAACTTGAAAGGTCGGCCACCGGTAAATACATGACCGGGATAATTTGGCGGGTTTTGGGAAATTCCGCCATATTTTTCCCGGTTATTAATTTTCCCAGTCATAAATTAACCCGCTATAATATTCCCGAGTAAGGTAATTATGGAATCAATAGAAGAAAACAGTTTTGAGAACTGTTCTGGTATTCTTTAGTAACACTTTTGTTTTGAAGTACGATTTGTAATTATTGTATTAAATGTTATGTTTTTTTCAAACCAGCTGAATTGGACAAAGTTTCATTTCTCATATTCTTTGACATTTAAAAACCTCAGTGTCCAGTGGTGTATTGTAAGACAGGATGTCATGCACGACTCCATGAGTGTAAAACTAAAGATCACACTCTGGTGTGCCCTCTGGAGGTTGTTAGCTGTATCAATGCAGAGAGTGGATGTACTATGAAGGTGGTTCGGTACCAGATGTCCGCACATCTCAGTGTGTGTCCAGCTTATGTTGTTATTTGCTGTTTCCAGGTGAGCGCATATAAACAACTTTCCTTGATATTTGAACTTCATAAAATTAAATTCATCAGAAAAGAAAAGTTGGTTGTTTTATCATTTGTACCATTTAGTCAGATTTATAAAATGTTCACTTTCATCAGTGGGTAAGGAAGATGTTGCAGGACAGTGCCCCAAACCATTCTCAATTCCTAAGAAGACCAAAAGACTGTTCAAGACAGCTTGATCTAGCTCTCACTTTCTTTGATCAAAAACGAGGTAATGTTAGCTTTTATCACGTACCTATCACTTCTCAATACCTTCTGTGGAAAGCTGAGTTATCAAAGTCCCAGAAAATTGAAATTGTCGCTTGCTCCAAAAATTGGTGTTTTTTTATTGACGACAGGCGTGAACAAATCTGACACTGAAAAGTTCTCTTTACCACGTCAAGTTTCGGTGAAACTAGGAAACAAAAATTAAGCACTGTCCAACAAGACAGCTGTTAATTGAATATAATAAATTTATAAGTGTGTATTTTCAGGTAATAAGAAACTGCTCCGGTACACTGGAAAGAAAGGAATTAAGGCTTGTCAGGATGTAGAAATTGGAAGAGACAATTTCAGTGAGTATTTTCAAGTTTATCGTTTTGAAATTAATGTTAATAAATTAACATATACCTAGCATGGTCTCAGCATCTATTATCGTGTGACAACACTTTACACGTTCTATATACACAGTGCTGTTGTGTTATTGTCTTATCTATATTCTCTTCTCAAGGACTAAAGAGCTTCAAAGAAATTTATCTTTATTCACCCCTCACACAACACTACATATCTGATATCATCACTCATATTGTTTTAATAATAACTATAAAACCTCATGTAGTCTTGTGAGAAGTGTTATCTTATGTTATAGTCCGGGAGGGACTAGAAGAAGTAGACAGCGCCACTTCCTTGAGCTATTAATAGTAACAAGCTACATAACTATCTGCTGCTCACATGTTATTATGCTCATTATCATGTTTTGGCACGTAACAATATGCATTATGTACAAGGAAACATTGCATAACCCGTCCGGCGTCCAACAGCTCATCGTCCATATATTAACCAAATGTCACAATGTACCTATAGATAATACACATTGTAACAGCTAATTTTCATTTTGCATACACTTGCTCAAACACATAGACCTTTGTCTAAAGCCTCTAGCAATGCCTCTAAAGCCTCTAACAGCTACAGCAAATCCAGGGCACGAGGGATTATGCAAATGTAGAGTTAAAGTATAGGAGGGTTAAATGGTCATTACACTTACTACACACAGGCACAATCAGGTCTGTGTGTGAACTCCCCTCTAGTGTGCGTGTTCTTTAGTCCGGGTAAATCTGATGTGAGGCGAGCTAAAAAGAGTGGGTAGCAGGGTGGTAGAAGTGTAGGCCCTCCCTCCAAGAGGTTTATTTAATGACATGACCTGGATCTGGAGATTAGTTTTGTACACTATTCCTGAGCTGATTTTAATGGTATGTACAAAGATTAAAGGTCCAGAGTGTTTTCTAATCTTCTAAAGTTCTAAACACTGGTCATCGTCCACTGGTAGCGGGTTTTCCATTTTAGCACATTTCTATAAACCTATTATCAGATATCTGATATCTTGAACAAGTTGGTACTTGGTTGCTGCCAATTATCCTTACAAAGAAGTTAGGTTAAAATATGTAGGTACCCACGTTTTCAGCATATTTTCAGCCAAGAGTTAAGACATAAGAGTAAACATTATTTGATCAGAAACACACCCTGGCCTCCTGCAGGGGTAACAGTTTAATCAAATCGAGCTCCACTCTAGAGTCCAGGGACCTTATATTTAACACACGCACTCTCACACTAATAAGTCCAGGGAGAGAGAGGGAGAGAGAGAGAGAGAGTGTTCCCTGAATCTCACTAAGAGTCCAGGGAGAGTTAGACTCAAGAGTTCCTCCCTGAATCTCTGCCTACGAGAGGAGGTGCAGCCTATAACAGTGGTAAGAGTCCTCACTGTTCCCTGAATCTCTGCCTACGAGAGGAGGTGCAGCCTATAACAGTGGTAAGGTTCCTCACTGTTCCCTGAATCTCTGCCTACGAGAGGAGGTGCAGCCTATAACAGTGGTAAGGTTCCTCACTGTTCCCTGAATCTCTGCCTACGAGAGGAGGTGCAGCCTATAACAGTGGTAAGGTTCCTCACTGTTCCCTGAATCTCTGCCTACGAGAGGAGGTGCAGCCTATAACAGTGGTAAGGTGCGCACATTAGGCAGTCCTCACTGTTCCCTGAATCTCTGCCTACGAGAGGAGGTGCAGCCTATAACAGTGGTAAGGTGCGCACATTAGGCAGTACACCCCCTCTTATACATGTGTGTAGAGTGTAGACAGGCCATTACGAGGAAGTGAGCCATCTTACTGTCACGTGATATGTAGAGTTGTGCACGTGCGCACTGTACACAAGGTTTATACTGTTAACCAAATGATGAGCAATGTGAAACCATGATCATTGAGATCTCTTAAACTACTTACAACACTACGAATCCATTATGTTTATTGAGTATTATGAGATGTAAGCGTCTTAACCAGGTGTAGCCACAGCCTGGCTCCATAATATAAAGGATTTGTTTTACCTATAGATGAAAAGCTGGAATAAACTAACTGGCCTTCAAGCTAACTTAGCAGCTTATTTCATCGAGTCCACTGTTTTCTCCTGACCAGTGATAAAGAGTAACGTCTCGTTATTTGTCTAGTATTAGCCAATACAGTGGACATTGGACACTGTGTGGCCACTAGGGAGAAGTGTGGCATCTTACTGTAGACTTGCTAATACAGTCACTCGTTATCCTTTAGATCGCGACAATGCCTACGTCAATGAATCTGTAAAACAGCCAGTTGTGAACAAATAAGGATTTAGATTTTTCTGGAGATTGTAAGAGACTGTCAGACTTTAAATGCCAGGTATCCTCTTAAGCGTCTTAAGACAAATGAGCCCGTCATATTTCCACGAATCCGGCTTTGATAAAATACAAGAATGCTTTTTCGCAGACTATTGTAACTTTATTCATAAAGCTTATAAGCTATTGTAGACTGTAGCTTTGTTTAGAATATAGACCACCCATATCTTATTTTGAGGTTATAATTCTAAATATTCTTTACATCCTAGAGTAGCTGGCTAACAGTCCATACTCCATACCTAATTAACCTAATTTACAGCAAAAAGAAGGGTAACCAATTAACTTGATAAGTCAAACTCGGAGATAGTACAGGTCATTTATGATGATATCCGATACCACCCCTGTGTATGTATCTAGTTGTTCAATAACACGACAACTTAACCAAATTACCGGGACAAATAACCCAGTGCTCCTCCTCACAGTTACCAATAACTCACTATTTCTCAGACTACAGCTACTCCTACAACCCCGCACACCCGGCCCCCGGTTCACTACAGTGGTACCGGACCAGTACCGCACTTGGCAAGCCGCCAGGCTGCAGGCGGCCTCCCTACATGACGCCAGTACCCACATTCCTGCAGAACTGCGCGGCGTACACTCCTCCTGCTCCTCTACACTGGACTAAACCCATGTTCCTTATCGCTAATAAGCTACCCAACAAAGTAAAGGTAAGGTACAGTTTCTCAGCTTCTTTAGATAATAGAGCTTTTACATGCAGATAAACAAACATTTTTTGATAAAAATAAACTTGTTCAGGTAAAGTTGTGCAAAATAGTTTTGTGGTGTTTAGTAGGAAGCATCACAGCTCTCCACAGACAAAGTAAAACAGGGCAAATGACTGGTGAAAACTAATGAAATAAACGACGTTTCGACACTCATTGGCCTTTTACTAAGTATTTAAAAGGCCAATGAGTGTCGAAACGTCGATTGTTTCATTAGTTTCACCAATATTTTGCCTTGTTTCACTTTGCCTGTCGATAATATGCTCCTTAATAAAAACTACAATGTTTAAACTCACGCGATCTATGAAAATAGTTTTGAACAAATTTAAAAACTCAAGCTCTGAATACAGAAATATAGCCAAGTTTTTAGCAAGGTTCTTAGCAAGGTTCTTAGCAAGGTTCTTAGCCAAGTTCTTAGCCAGGTTCTTAGCCAGATTCTTAGCCAGATTCTTAGCCAGGTTCTTAGCCTAGTTATGCTTGCTATAAAAATATTTAAAGAATGCCGATGAATACTTACAAGACGTAGATAACTCTTAAGTGCCAATATCAAACGTCCAACACATGTTTTAACAAACTGTTTGCTCTCAAATACATGCTTTAGCGTAAATAAAGTGATTCTTTGAAGTTTGAGCAATATGCAAAAGGCATCAAACGATAGTTTCTGTCGGAATGCTTCAACTATTGATGCTTACATTCTTTGATTCGCTTCGATATTCCAAGAATCTATCAACTTTACTTAATATTAAAGCTATTCAAATACCACCTGACTCCTAATATTAAATGTACTATAAATGAACTCTCCGCTAAGCCATAGTGCCCACAGGTTCATATCAGAGAACAGAAGGTTCCCAACCCAACTGAAGTTGATAAATGTCTATTTGGCAGCTCTCACGAAGACAAAGAAGTCGTAAGTCACATTCATAAAATCTTTTAAAGATTCTAAAAGCTGGACACATCGGTGCGTTGATTCCGCAGAAAACAACCCATATGTTTAAGAGAACATTCAATATTATAGTAATATAGATTATAGGGGTATATAAGCTACATTGAACCCGCCATTTACTTTACCAAAACTAGACATTGAGTTTATAAACACTAACAATCACAAAACTGGACATTGAGTTTATAAACACTAACAATCACTTAATACAATAGATCCCACAACCCTCTGTTTCAGTGCGCGCGGATTGAACCCTCCTTCTCCTGTTATAACATCATAGCAATCAACAACCTCCCTCTTCTCCACAGATCAGAGGCTAGTCTACATCTCTCCTGTGGGCAGATGTTACGTAGAGATCAGGTGTCTGCCCATGCGGACACTGTTCATAACCGGATCATGGCAGGTACAGGGCTGTAATAGTATTTGTAGTAGTAGTTGTAGGGCTGTAATAGTAGTTGTAGTAGTAGTAGTTGTAGTAAGAAGTGTTTCATATTCAGGGCTGTGGAGTTAAACCGTAACATCCTAGAGGGGACCCTTCATAACAATATCATATGTTTCTAACTTCCTCCTGCTCTTTTTAGAAATGGAACTTTTGAACTGGAGAATAGGCTCATCCAGCGTAATTATATATCATCTTAGTGACTAGTGTAAGTTCCAACCAGTGCAGTCAGCAGTGATTAACTTTCCCTGAGCAGTAACTTTTCATTAATCACGTGCCTCATACTCATTAGCAACTGCACGAGACTGGGCAACCTAACAGCAATAAAGCAATACCTCGTCAAAAGGCCTCTATGAACTTAGAATTCTAGACTGGGTGCAATATTCCCCTTCGAATCACAAAAGCTTTTGTCCAGGTATAATGGACGGGTGGATGATAGAAAGATGTCCCTTATCAGCTTACGGATGTGAACATTACCAGATAAGAATACAACCTAAGGGAGGAAAACAGGAGGTGAGAAACTGCAATTTAGGTGTAATTTAGGTGGATCTCGAGATATTGCATCCTATTTATAAGAAGTTGTCTCCAAAAGTAAACTATGCCAGTAAATTATACCGGCCCCCTAAATACGTTGCTATCAGGTGAAATTTGATGACGATTTGGGAGTGTTTTATCTGCGAACTAAGGAGGAACTCCCCGCCCCTACTTCATGTTATATTCCTCAGCTACCAGCTGAGATCTGGTGTCTTATCGGTCAGTGATCAAATTATTTGTTAAAATTTAAATTAAATAAAATCAAAATTCACGTGGCAGCATATTAGTTTGGGCGTTTTTATCTTTAAATGAATTAATTGTTCCGTACTATGCATATAGTAGTTTATATTTTTGTATTTTGTAAATTTGTAATTTCACTAGTCACGGAGTCACCCTCATCTCAAATTTTCCTGTTTAAATTCCACATTTTCAACACCTAAATTCACAGACTAGACGCCGCCACTAACTCGTTATATACCTGTCATTAACTACCTTAGACGCAATTAAAGTTCACCAATAGTTTCACTTATAAACCTAGTCGACCGATAGTATCATTTACAAACAAGTCACGTGTCTTGTTTCACTCCTGATGATATCATTTGTCATCCTCCTTATAAATACACCTATCACGTGACTTTAGCGTGAAAGTTTTAATCTATTTATCCAAGATTGTGAGCTATCAAACTAATTTCGTATTTGTACTGGAAAATGTAAATCAAAACATGTAGATGTCACTGCTTACCTGGATTACCTATCCTAGACCAAGCCATTGACCAGCAAAATGTTGGCGAGTAAACTGATAAAAACTTGTAAATTCCTTAAAAAGTGAGATTCCTCAAATATTCCTTTAACACCACATTCCTACAGGTCAATACTGCGACAGCTACACTCTAGCCCAACTCTGTTCCGTCTCCTTCCTTCACCACACTATCTCTGCGCAGCTCCTCCAATCCCGGGGTCTCGCGCACAAGCGATGGACGCGCGGACTGGGACCGCGTCTCTGGGACAAACAGCGCAAGGTAATAAGCGATGACATGCGCACGCTTGTTAGTATTAGCTGCTCCTTTGCTGCATGCAAGCGCTGGGAGCCTAGACCGGAGGTTTGTTGCATGTTTTTATTTTGATTTTTGTTTGTTTGGATATTTTATTGGATACAATTAAACTAAAACAAATGAATTTGTATCCTCTCAAAGTATACAGTTGATGTTGACTGTTAACGACATTGTATTGATGCTTGATTTTCCTAAGCTCAGACTATGCTCTAATGCATGTAATTTCTGGACCACATCTTACATACTGAGTGTGCTTGTTGTAGACTACTAATCCTAGTTTATCACGTTTACAATCAATCAGTCTGATTACTGGGCGTGTATTAGCGAGTAACAAGGTGTATTTGTGAGAAAACAAAACCAGTACAATATACACGACAAATGCACGACAAATGCACGACAAATGCACGACAAATGCACTATAAAATATAAATGCACGACAAATATAGAGATGAGCTGTGTTTCATTAAATTAACCTTTATAACTTATTATGTTTAGAAAGTGAACATAATGGACAAATTATATTGTTTATCTGGATGTTTAAATGCTTTTCAGATCCTTTTAGTCAAATCGGTAAGAATAGATGTCGTGAAGTCGCTGTCTCTTTCTGTCCAATATTGTCTCTCTGTTAATCACTCTTTCGTCTTTTCTCAGAGCTGCTGTCTCTTGTACTTTCCCAGTAATCTGCATGTTTACTTTATTTGTTACTGCTGAATTAATTGTATGCATGTGCATGTGTATGCTAATAAATGTTCGTTTCCATTTGCATGTACGCAGCTGCTTTGGAATTTATTAATCATTAATCAAGTATTACTTACAAATTGTATATAAATATCCTACAGTAGTAGTACTAACCACTAATAGTAGTAATCCAACCAACATCCTTCAAGAAAAGAGATAATGTGCCGCATATCAGAAGAGTTTGATAAATTAACCCCATATTTCCAGGCGAACTGGGGTATCACCGCCTCCCTAACGAATACGCTGGAGTGGGAACTAGCAGACAACCCCCATATTTCAATTCACATGAACAAGTGTCCGTGGAATGTGCGCACGGAACACCGCGCGGACCTCGCCCAGGTCTACGGACACCCCATCATAGACCCCTCCGTTATTATACGTAATTTTTAGTCGGTACAGGTGTTACGTGTGTGTGTGTTTGCCCACATCCAGAAAGTTTTAAATTGTCCTAAAACAAATAAAAATAAAAAGGGAAATAAAGGTCAGGTCTTCGAAAAATTTCCTTTTTGGCACCAAATTTCCGCGCAGATAATCTGCTCATCTGCCGTCTTTCTGGATGTGGGTGTGTTTGTGTGTGTGACGGGTTTTATTGCTTTTCTGGGAATTGTTTGAGAAATATTACTTTATATAATCTGAGAAATTTAGCTGAGTTATATTTGTGTGATCATGCGAACCGTTTTTCTCTGTTTTTAACACGTGATTCTTTTATTGCTGTTTTACTTTTATTTGTATATTTCAACTACAAGTTTATTTATAGATGAAAGAGCTCTGAAAAATATTTAATATTGATTTATTCAACAATTTCTCCGATGAATTTTGACGTTGTATATAATAGTATCATGATACTTACTAATATGTATAATTATTTATTGGCTTTAATTTCATTGCTGAACTACAATCAATTGTTTTCATTTCTTACCACAATGGTTTTTGGAAACTCACCAACCACGAATTCGTACAACTGCTTAATACAGACAACAATTACTAAAATGTAGCACAGTACACAGAATATGGTGTTGTCACCACCACGTGACGTCATCATAATACCACGTGACGTCATCACAATACCACGTGCTGTTAAACCCTGCTACACCACACTCAACACAGTCTAATAAAACCTATATCCTATAAAACCTAGACTGTAATGTTTGGTAACTGCTAATACCTGGCTTCTAACGAGGAGCAATTAGACAATGTGGGGGTGGTTTTAACAACTACTGCAGACTCTCTCCTGTTGACAACTTGTGGTGCTACGTCACACGTGGTTTCTGTTAAGCACGTGCTTTCTTGAAAACATGTGGTTCTTTGTGAAATGTGTGGTTTCTGTAAAACAGATTTTTGTGGTGGATCCAAGTAGTGATGTTGGGAAATGTATATTGTATAAAACAAAAGTTATTAATTCTACAGTGTGCAGCAGTGCTAGATGGTTAGTGTCGAGTTGTTTATTGTACGTAATCTCTTATAAGTGGTTTGTAATTTATTCCCATAATTTATGTATTATCATAGAGATCTCAACTCTAAGAAAAACGTCCTGAATCTAAACTGCAATATTAAAACTACCTGTAAAACAACTAGCATCTGCCAACATGTGCAGATTAGATTTACATCTATTTCCAGCTGCACACGCACACATGCAAACCAGATTAACATGTAGCGCTTGTGTCAATAAGTTAATGATTTGACTAATCGAACTGGAAATGGAGCCAAGACAGCACGCTTGGTAACCAATCAGCAGTGTGGAGTTTGCTGGGAATTGTTAGGATAATCAATGGATCATAATCAGCATGTGTTTGATTGATGTATCTGGGATAGTGGGTCAATTTGTACCTGGGGAAAATTCTACTAAAATTATAGATTATAGATAGTGATAGCCTTACTAAAAGTTGTATAGTATAGTTAATTATTATGAAACTAATTTATGCACTTGAAATATTAAGGTCTAAGGACCTACATGATGACAGATGAAATTTAGACTTTTAATCCTGTTGTAGAGTTGTAGCTTATACTCTTACACACAGTACATTGTTGGATCAGATAATAAAGACACATCGTTTAGTGTGCCCACGATTAGAGCACAGTTCAGTCACAACAATGCACACCCCTGTAACCACAACGTTTAGGCTATCTCTAGACAATCAAATATATTAACCTATATTGTAGGTGTATTTTAGAAGCACACTACTGAGTAGGTAAAGTACAGCACTACTGGATTCAGCAGTGGTATTGTATACTGGTCGGGAACTACTTGCTTTATGCTATTTTCCAGTATTCAAACCAGATTGTGCTGCACATAATTAGTCCTTATACGGGGTTTCAGTTTATACCAAATAAGGCATAATGATTTTTGGTGGATGTAAGCAGGTTGTCTCAGCACTACAATTATAGTAGCTTGTGTGATATGTAGCTAGATATATGGCCATGTAGCGTATTCTGAAAGACAGCATACCACAATCCAGCTCCGACAGGGTGTTGATATCCGAACATTCTTTTACTTAACTTAATGTCAACACCTTACCTATAACTATCTGGTAAAACTGAATGGCACGATTTATATTTCAGTATCAAAATATTTGTCCTGTACGTAGGTTGTGCGTCATTCAGCTCGTATGATAATGGCAGGGTCATGTGCTTGTGCGTTGTAACATTGCACCAAATCAGACGGTTCCAGGGCACGTGTTGTAAGATTAGTGTATGCACTAATCTCGCTAGGTCTGCAAATTTAATGTTTACTGTTCCAAATAGTATGTAGAGTAATGTACAGTTGTCTTATTGGATGAGATTAAGCCAATAACTCGTTACAAATAAGATTATTTAATCAATTTATTTTGATTCCGTTTTTACGTATAATTGTGGCAAAATGTCTGAAAAATAACATAAAAACGTAGCGCGCAATGATAATTTAACATATAAAGAAATCACTGCTTTTATCGACAATAACGTCAATGAGCGCGCGAGCGCGCGGCGGTCGGTCCGGTATGGTGTGATGGCGGTCGCGCGCAAGAGCCACCTGAGTCAGTGAGTTGGGCACGCTTCTGCAGCCTTTCATTGTTCAGAGGGTTTAAAGCAGCTCATCAGGCTTCAATAAAATTAGTTTTAGTGTCTAGACAACGTCACATGATAGGTACAACAAAGCATTGTAATATTTTCTTCCGGCAATAATTTTCATTCACGCTCTCATTATGCATTAGAGCGCTAATTGTGGTTTCTTGCTACTAGTACTATACTACTACTACTACAAGCAGCTGTCATGTTTCTAGAACGTAGCAGGGTGAGTGACTCTTTACTATGACTAGACAAGAAACATTGTGGTTACAATAAAATTATTCCCCGTCGGCCAGCTTCCCTGTACTTAAGTGGCCATTTCCGGGATTTAGTTTGTCTGTTACATCAGGTATTTTCGGCAATTTCAGATTGAATTCAATAATATAGCTAGTAAAAGTTAAAGAGCTATTAAGGACTTACTATATTCAAATAAATCATTCCATGACAGCAAGAACAAGTAAATTCGTCACACGATACCATCAATTCTATATAAAATGTTGAAAAACCCTTCAAGCTATCATAATGAGCTGACACAATAATTTTGTACCAACATTTTTGTCTGTGTCATCGTACATTTTGCTTTGCTGCAATGTCGGACGCTGAGGAGAATCCGGAGGGCGAAGGTGGTCAAAAAAAGGGCAAGGAAAAGAAGAAGAAAGAAGAAAAACCTGCCAAAGAAGAAAAGAAGGAGGAGTCTGACACTGATAGTTTCAGTAGGTAGGTAAGATTGAATATTAATTATCAAGACAGTTAGCAATAAATCAGTCTCTGCAGTATTTCTGTCCTACCCCTCTAGACTCAAGAGTCTACATATGCAGTGTAATCGTAAAGTGTACCACTGTAGAGTGTAGAGTGTAGACGATATAATGTGTCCCAGGTCCTTGATAGACTACATTATGCCGGTCAAGGAGATGCTCCGGAAGATGACAGACAGACGGAAATATGTTATAATCAGTGACAGTGCAGACCCTGACTACTTGGACGACGTTGAGGAGACTTTTGTCAGGGTAAACAGCACCATCTTCATTACTTTTCATAAAACGGACAAAATTTGAACTCCTGGCTTATTTTTACATTTGGCAAGTTAATAATCTGAACCGTATTCTTCTCCAGAAGGCCGATATCTTATGGGAGGAAATGTATCACTTCAACTTGGAGGGCAACCTTCAGAGGGGCAGAATAACCAGATACTTACAAAACTCAACAAAACACTTGGAGTTCCCTTACATATTTGTGGTAAGTTGGGAGACATTCTATTGTCATTGGGAGCCGATTCATTTGCAGTTTGTTTAAGTGCACGATTACATTTAACATATTAATCTATATCAGATTAAGTTTTAAAATGCACTATATATCACACTATCAACACCATGTATTGTTGCAGAGTGGAGAATATTTCGGTTCGTTGGAGAAGTTTAGTCAGCTTGCAGAAAAGAACGCGTTGCACAGCAAGGTTCACGGTTTTGGGCGAGGTTTGGATGTGCAACATGGACAGGTGAGTCCTTAATAATTGGGAGTTTTCTTCTCTTAGCGAAACGGAATGTAGGACGTTTTTGGCTGACTTTAGACAAAACTCTCACTTTGTCCCAACTCAGCTGTCGTTTGCCGTGGCTTCAGCCTCTAAGTATTGGAAAGAAGGAATATCTGGCTTGAAGAGAAGTGCTGAAAAACGTGGTATTATTGAAATAGATACCAGGTCGGAGAAGGAAAAACAGGTACAGATCTTTTATTAGCATCTTGTTTTTTGAGTAACCAAGTATTGGTGTAGTCCTAACTCCTAAGAATGAACGCATTATTTGAAACCTCTAAAAGTTATTATTTTCAGAAAGAAAGGAGAAAGAAAAGAGCGGAGAAGCTACAAATTCAGAAGCAGAAGGATAGAGAGGCTAAAAAGAGGAGTATAAAGAGAAAATTAGAGTTTAAAGCAAAGAAAAAGGCAGCGATAGTGTTCCTTGCTAGCAAAGGTATGTGCAAGATAATTTGGGACAGTATTTTGATGTCCGTCATTACTGATAACCTATCCGCGAAGCTTGATATCCAAAAAGCTAGACTTTGGCTTTTCAGCGCATTCAGATACTTCTCCCACTATTATACTTCTCCCAGGCCACTATTATCTAAAGTTTATATTGAACAGGTTGATTACTTGTTTCCAAATGGTTATAGACTAAAATAGTATCTTCTTACAGGTATCAACATCCCGCAAGAAGACAAGAAAACAAAATTAAGGAAGAGGAAGAAGAAGAAAGCTGCAAAAACTGCAAAAGCAAATGAGGCGAAAGAGAGCGAGAAAGCTAAGCAGGATGGAGGAGGAGAAACAGCCAACAAGGATGGAGTAGGAGATGAAGAAGGAGAAAAGGGAGGAGAAAATGGAGGAGAAAAAGAAGAAAAAGCGGCACAGGACGGATGATGAAACTGTATTTTAACAATTTTATTGCAATATAAGCTGATTTTACTAATGAATCTGATTCATACCTCAATATTAACTTAAAGATTAAAATAGTCCCGACAATTTCTGTCCAACTTCACAAGATAGCACCGGATAGTGTATAATAGCTGATATGACTAGAGAGGGTCATTACTGGGCGGCGCTCAGCCTGTCACTCCGCCATATCTTCATTCGGTTTATGAACACTAAGCCTGAGGTCCCCAGAGGTAATAGTTGAGTAGAGAGGGTCGCCGGAGCCGGTATTATCCTGTCACCGTTTAAAAGTCTGTTCGAGTGTGTATTTTTCCCAGTTGACTTCAGGGTCAAACGATTTCCATCTGTTAGCCGGGAACATGTGTTTGTTTCTTTCGTACCACGATCTCAAGGTAACCTAAATAAATTGTGGTAAGATAAATCTCACGCGAGCTCTTAGCTTGCATCAATGTACCACTTCATCTCAATTATTTGAGTTTAAAACTAAATTTGTATGGGTTTTACAAGCTTAACAATTTCCCTGTTTCATCTGGAGACTGGACGTATCAGTATGTAAAGTATTGCATACCTTGCCGTATTGAAGATCGTCTTTAAGTAGACCTGGGGCTTTGTTCTCTTCTTCTTTGTGCGGCACAAACCTAACCAGAAATCAGTAATTAGATAAATTGATAACTTTGAAGACTACAGGGTATCAAACAAGTTGACTGCAGAGTGATTGAATTGTTGAGAATGAAGCGAAGAAAAATGGGCACGCCAAATCAAGATATGCTCAACTAAACTGTCAAAAAGTATATTCGAAGAAGCATATCTTTAGAAGCATTCTTTAAAACATACCTGAAAAGCGGTCCTTTTTCACCTCTAGCATTCATCTGTTCCATCTGATAGAAAGTAAGGTAGTGTGGTATTATCAGATCTGCTTTAACAAACATCAACATGTCCACACTCGCACACCTCACCTGAAATAGCAGATAAATACGGGGTCTCATTAACAAAATTTGCGGTCTGAAATGTGAAGCAGATCTCGATCTTATAATATAGGTTTTTTTAATGTTAATTAAAATCTATGCGATGCAAAATCTTGAAACACAAATGTGTTCGTTATCTAAATTAGCTCTTGAGAAGATAAATGATCAATAATTATATTGATGAATATGAAATCTGAAGATATCTAACATCAGGGTATATCGGGATGAGTGATTCCAACGCGAAGTTTAGAAACTGTTCTATCGTATATCCCTTCTTCATGAGAACTTTATGTCTATGTCCTGAAATTGTAGATTAGAGTTATGCAAAATATTGAGTTTAAAATATATTTAAATCATTCAGTTTCCAATTGCCAAAAGACTAATTATCAAATAACATTGTTATGTTAGTATAAAGAGATATAATATCTAAAAACGACAGTTAATTTTGGCACATTCTATCAAAAGGAATGAGATACAAAACAAAAGTAAGGAAACAAAAACTATCGGAAATGTAAAGAAATTAGATTATAGCAATGTACCTGATCCGTCCCAGTAGTTGAATGTGAGTTCAACGTCCTGGTCTTTTATCTGTTTCTGTTTGTCAGCCCACTCTTGCTTCAAATCAGCTGTGGAAGAAGAGTTAGTCAGGGGGGCGGGGGAACAAGAGTTAGTCAGGGGGGCGGGGGAACAAGATTTAGTCAGGGGGCGGGGGAAGAAGAGTTAGTCAGGGGGGCGGGGGAACAAGATTTAGTCAGGGGGCGGGGGAAGAAGAGTTAGTCAGTGGGAATCATCTGTTGAACAAGAGTTAGTTGCAGGGGGGGGGGGGGGATGGCGGGCCGTGGGAGGGGTGGTCTATTTTTTATTAAATACTTTTCAAATTTTACAGAGTACAGCAATAGATGAATATAAAATAGAATCGTTCAAAATATCGCCCCCATCTGTAAAATATGATGGGCACCCAAACACGGTAAACACATAGTGAACTATGTCCGCAGTAACTTGGACCCATTACATCGAATTAATCTAAATCCAAAAATTTATGAAAAACTATTTAATAACAAACAAATCCATGGTGAATAACTGTGGATATAGAGTCAAAATTTGTATTTCAATACGTCAAATTCCAGATACATTAGATACAGGTCTGAAATGGTCATTAATGTGTGAGAAGGTGTGCGGGTGAAGTGTGATATGATGTTGAAAGTATAGGAAGGTAGATAAAAAAATTAATAAAACAAAAATAATAATAATATGGGGAGCAAAGAGACTAGGCTAGACTGTTGTTTCACTATCCAATAAACATTTCCATAGATGCTTAGTGACCTCAGCTTTGAAAAGACTAGTAGACACAATCTGTCTTACCTGTAAAGGGAGTCCATTCCACAGTATATGGGTTCTGTAGAAAAATGATTTTGCCAGTGGGCTATTTGAGGTACATGTGGTGTGTGAATTCTGACTTAACTTAGGTAAAATTGATGACACAATAGACAGACTGTCGAGGTGGCAACGTCTTAGTCGAGAAGTGCCCTGATATAAAGAGAGATAGTGAGGCAGTGATACAGGAATTAAATTGTTAAGAACTTTGTGGAAAAAAATAAGATCATTCAAGTCAAACTTTTGAGACAAAGGGAGAATGTCGACAAGCTTGCACTTTTTGACATATTGCTCAGGTGGATAACTGCGGCCCTCTTCAGACAGAATCCATTTAATAGCTCTCTTTTGGAGACTTTCTAATTTATCACTAAGTGATTTATTACAAGGGCGCCAGATTATGGAACAATTTTCGAATTGGCTACGAACCAGGGAGAGGTAAAGCGCCCGGCGACGTTTCTGATCAATGACAATATGGCCATCTCTTCTGACCATACCAAGTTGTTGGCAGGCCTTAGTATAAATTCTGTCGCACTGACTATTCCAACTTAGCTTAGGAGTAACATCGACTCCAAGATCTTTTTCTAACTCTACATACACAAGAGGAGAGCCATCAAGATTGTATGCGAATGGAGGAGATAAAGATGGTTTTCCTGAAACAATAAGCACTTTACATTTTGCTGGATGGAATCGCATTTTGTTTCTTAGTGCCCAGTCAGAGAGATAGTCTATATCCATTTGTAAATTAGTATTATCAGAAGATGAATGTATTTTACGCCAGATTTTTGTATCATCGGCATACAAAACAATATCAGTATTATCCGAAAGGCCAAGAGGAATATCATTGATAAACAATACAAAAAGTAAGGGACCAAGAATAGAGCCCTGGGGGACACCAGAATTAACTGAGAGGGTAGATGACATCTCATTACCAATAACCACTCTTTGGTAACGGCCTTGAAGGTAATTGGTAAGAAATTTGAGAAGTGTACCATCAATGTTATATAAGGTCTTTAGCTTATGAAGAAGGATATCATGATTTACAGAATCAAATGCCTTAGCAAAATCAAAATACACAACATGATTGATAATGTTTTCGTTAAGAGACAATGCCAGGCTATCACAAAAGTCAACCATATTGGTTGTGCATGACTTGTGCTCTAGAAAACCATGCTGCCTGGGATCAAGAAGGGTACTTGTCAAAGAAAGCAGTTTACGTTTAACAATGCGCTCAAAAACTTTCATGACTAAACAAGTAAGGGATATTGGTCTATAGTTTTCAACCTCACTTTTCTTACCTTTCTTAAATATTGGGACAACATTTGCAAGTTTCCATTCTTGTGGAATGTAGCCGCTGTTGTAAGATCCACGAAAAATGCATGTTAGAGGGTAAGCTAAACCTACGGAACAATTTTTGAGAATTTTACCGTGTATGCCATCTGGTCCCTGGGCTTTATTTGAATTAATATTTGAAATATTATTCCTTTTTAAAATTAATATTTGAAATATTATTCCTTTTTAAAATTATAGATTTAATTTATCTGTTTCTAGATAGTATTACCGGTCGAGTCTGCTTAATATAAAATTAATACCAGATATTGATAAAACGCCACTCTATCACCACTATAATATCCAAGTTTCGATCTATACATTTCACATATTTTCTTCGTGAAAAACCCTAAACTAAACTTGTGTAGCGTTAAGTGTTGAGCTGATTGTGGCAGTCATATTAAATTCAACATTGTCTACGGTTTTGAGCCGAACAAGTTTCAATCTAAATGTAACGCTAATCGACAGTGAAAGTGTTCACTTCAAACGCTGTAGAATAGAGTTAAAATTCCATCTTTATTTTGTTCCAACTACAGTTTCGTGCAGTTGACAGAAAAGTAATATCAAGTTTCAGAATCTTCAAAGGCAGTCCTATGTTGGCCAGAGAGGTAACAGAACACCCTTTTATCTCGGATAAAATGCTTGTCCGCTACACAATCTTTGTGAAGTTGCTTTGCTTCTCGATAATATTTACTGATGAATTGTTTGTGAAAAAGAGTAATTTTGATTTTTAATTTTAATTTACCGATAACTGTAGCGTCAGCTATTATTTCCAATCAGAGATCTAGTCCGCGAATAACAAATCTTCATAAAAATTTACACCGGCAACTGTTAATTTCCAATTAATGATAGGACTTTAAGTAAGGGTCAAAGTATGTGACCTGTCATAAAACAATTAAAAGAGTTTCTTTCATTCAAATTTCTGATTGCTTCTGGATAGACTCAGTGAAGACAGATTCTAGTGGAAATAAATTCTAATTGTTTCTGAATAGTTTCTGAATAAACCCCTCTGTTTGAAAGTCAGAGGGGTGAAATTTAAAGGATAATATTACTATTTACACGTCACTCAATTAAAAACTGTGTTAGATTGTTCAACCCTGTTTTGTCGTTGAGTGTTGGTTTCTTTTCAACTAAAAATCGGGCTTCTTTAATTTTTCTCTTGATGAGTGATGTTCCTCTATCCACGATTTGAAGTTTTAGCTTTGGAGGACCTATGTGCTGAGGATGACTGTTGGGTTTGCCGCACTACGGTAGTGTTCTTCAAAGTCAAACCTGCACTTGAGTGGTCTGTACTCTGTAGGTCTCGCCACCATAGTTCTCGGTGCAATTGTCTACTTCACAGGTGATGTGGTGGACGGTGTTAGTTGTGGTGCATTCTCCATCGGTTAAAGCTGCGCATGTTCTGCAGTTTGATGTTGTACTTGTACAGGATTTCTTGTCAAGAGGTCTGGAGTCTGTTAGATGCTGTCAGACATATCTTCCTCGTAGGGGGCTGTGGTCATTATCACTATTGGATAGATCATGACCACTGTAAGATAGAGCATTGGAGCCCTGTGATTACCCCGGTAACTGTCAGACATGGTGGGCTCTCCATCAAAATTGTCGAGAAACCTGGACTCTATTTAATTAACACTATTTCAGAATATGAGTACAACGTAGAAATTTCGATACGTTATTCAGCAATGTATTTCAATTATAATCTGTCTTCACTGAGTCTATTCAGAAACAATCAGAAATTTGAATGAAAGAAACATCAAATCATGAGACTCAATAACACTACACGAATCCACCAAATTAAAAGAGTAGTGAAAAGTATTTTTAGTACCTTAATCCATGATAAGTTAGAAGTTAGTTAGATCTTTTTTCGTCAGTCTATTCAATTCTTGATTCTTATCCTATGAGTCGCATGATTCACGCTATTTTTCAGTATTTTGGCTCCGATGAAGCTATGGTAAGTCTTCAGTTCCAGGACGATCCTCTGGAAAATGAATCACAAATACAATCATCGGACGAAACAGCAGGGTTCAGTAACCCCATGTTTGCAAATCTATCTACAAGCTCAGACGAGGAGTTCAGAGCGATTCCAAACGGGAAAAGATCAGCCTCTAGCTCTAATTGGAAGTCTGAACTAGACTTAACGATTGCAGCAATGTACGTTGAAGACGCGCTTCACTTCAGAAACGTCCCCTTTCGACCTGACAAACTTTCTTTATATCAAACTTACCAGAACAAAGCAATCAGATACTTGTTCGTCATATTCCCCTGCTCTACTCCTGGGCCTAGCCCTAGTTGAGACACCAGCAGTTGAGGTCCTCCAGGTTCATTGGCAGGCAGTGTTAGCACTGGAGCTCATCTGTCTGATCGCATGTTCTTGTAGGGTCCTTCACCTACGTTTGTGCTTGCATCCTGGGGACTTCTGGTCTGACATAAAGAACTGTGTGATTATTGTAAGCATTGCTGTGATGCTCGTTGACACGGTGGTATGGTTTGTTTATAAAGTGGGGGAAGGAAGGGAAGTGATCAGAGTTAGCAGAGTTTTGAGGCCTCTCCTCATTATCAACTTCTCAGATAACCGAAACCTGAGAAAACTTCTGAGAAACATCAAGAAGACTGTTGTTGACGTTATCAGTGTTCTTGTGTTAATCTTCCTTTTCATAGCTATCTTTGCTATGATGGCCACCAAGTTCTTTGAAAGACGGACCCTGCTAGACCCCCACGGAGACCCTTACCTCGACAACTTCCTGGACTCCTACTGGAATCTTTACGTTCTCATGACGACAGCAAACAGTCCGGATGTATCTCTACCAGCATTCCGGAACGAACAGCGTTCTTCTTTTTCTTCATGCCATTCTCAGTCATCACCACCTTCATCCTCATGAACATCCTGCTAGCAGTGGTGTACAAACATTACAAATTACACTTACTCGAAGAGGTAAAAGTTGATGTAGGCATAATCCAAGGCAACCTACTTAAGGCGTTTACTCTGCTTAAAGACCCGGACACTAACCATATCCACAAAGATGTTTGGCTTAAGGCCTACAGAGAATTCGGATGTCCAGATGCTCTTCATTCGCTCTACTGGGACTACATGGCCCCAAATAAAGAACTCCCAGGAATTTCCCTGCAAGCGTTCTTCAAGATCACTGACCTCCTTTCTTCTGAAATAATAATAGTGATAACGAAGAAGACATGGTTGGAATTACAATTTCCCTTCATTTACAACTGCAGCCCCTCGTGCTACTTAAGATGTGCTGTGGAACATTTTGCTTTCACGTTATCATACGATGCTCTTATCTTCGTTAATGCAGTAGTTCTCTCAATAAGATCAGCCCCCACTTATCTTGAAGACATATTCCTGGTCCTGTTCAACATTGAGATTGCGCTGAAGGTGTATACGTACGGCCCAAGAAAGTTTGCTAGCACAGCCTGGAACTGCTATGATTGCCTAGTGATTTGGAGTGCTACAATATTCTCGCTGGTGGTAGACGTGGAGGGTCTGCACGACTCCAAGGACGAAGAGTTGAGCGCTGTCTTCCTCGACATGGTCTTGACACTCCGAGTGTTGAGGCTGTTGAAGCTTCTTCTCAGCATCCCGCAACTAAGATTGATTGTAAGCACGCTGATGCAGATCGTGCCCAGCATGGGATCCTACGCTCTCCTCCTCTTTCTTTTCTACTACAGTTATGCAATAGTAGGAATGGAGCTGTTTGCCGGGAAGATCCTCAACGACACAGTCAACTGTGGGAACGAGGCCTTGAACCACACAGATTTCGTCAGGGAGGGTTACTGTGTCCTGTCATTTAACAACGTGCTCTACAGTTTCGTGGTCCTGTGGACGCTGACCCTAGTAAATCAATGGCACATTCTTGTTGGTGGTTTCGTGGCTGTCACCTCCAAGGCGAGCAGGCTCTACTTCCTTTCTTTCCATGTGCTTATTGTACTCATAATACTCAACATCTTCCTTGCATTTGTGATTGAGGCGTTCATGTTGCAAATAGAGCTGGATAAGAAAAAACAAGAAGGTATAGACGAACATTTGGATGAGCGAGGGATGAACGCAAGAAGAGAGTCACATCCTCAGGACCAACCAGTCTGGTACAGATCTTCCTCTTTAACTAACAGCAACGATGTGGACGCAGAAGGTTTAAAGAAGATCTACATCGGCACAACACCCCTCGACGAAAAGATTAAGTACAAAAGACAGAAGAGCACCAAGTCGTACAATCAGCTTCTACTGGAGATGTTCCAGGAGGATATCCAAGCAGAAGATACACCCCCTGGGGAGACATCCCCCGGACATTCCGGAGTAACGGAACGCCAGGTATCAGACCAGGCAGGTAAACGGAGACTCAGCTCCGTGAGAGAAGATGATCCTGAGCTGGTTGAGACTGATCGAGTACCCACTCCTGAGTGTGGGTCGTTAGAGGAAATCGATATCATATGAACGGTAATGACTACGTGTCTTGTGGGTCGTTACACTTACAGGACATGGATATCATATGAACGGCAATGACTACGTCATGGACATTTTACTGCAGTGCAGTATTATTATTGAGAGAGAAGATTATAGTATGATTAATATTTTACTTATTAAAAATGTTGCAATTTTGATAACGATAGAAAAACGGGTATTAATTATTTACTAAACTTGACTAAATGAGAAATGGAAAAGTACAACAATATCGGAAAGTGGTCATTATTATAAATTCAAGTTTATTTTGCTAGTCAGTAGCAACGCTTGATTCTTATTTATATTCAATTGATTATTATGTATATATAATAATTAATTGAATTTTCAAATAGAAAAATGGTAGGTCACCTTCAACGACGATATTATGTCTTATAGCTATAGTAATATTTCTTTCATCGCAAATGATGGCGTTCAGGAAATCTGACAGAGAGCAGATGTTGTATTTTATGGCATTTTATCTCCTTGGTAAATATTATGTCTTATAGCTTATAGTAATATTTCTTTCATCGCAAATGATGGCGTTCAGGAAATCTGACAGAGAGCAGATGTTGTACTTTATGACATTTTATCTCCTTGGTAAATATTATGAACTGATAATCAGCAACAGCTTCCCATAATTATACAATCAAATTCGTACGACACGTCGACACAATCGAGCCATCGCCCATATTCAGGACCTTAAATATCGAATGACCTGGGGTTCTTCGTAAACGCTGGATTTATTTTTGTGACACGTACACGTATTAATCTTTAATTTTCTTGAAGAATTCTTGACAAAATGTTTTTTCTAGGTTTTCATCGTTTTCCTTTACTGGAAAATTCAGAATGTGTGACTACATACAACTTTCTGGTTTCTAGTCTGGTATACAATATTAATTCAGTTATTAATTAAGTGCTCGCTCCTACTGGGTAGAATAAAATCCTCAAATTATCTTTTTTAAACTACAGAAATACCTATTTCTTGTAGTTCCTGAGCTTCGCGATCTTTGTCGGGTAGAAAAGAAGTATTTACCGCCGGATTTTTACCAATCTTTTTCTTCTTCTTTAATATCACAGGCTCCTCCTCTCCGTTTCCTAGGATATGCTGATTGAATTCTATAAGCTGCAATGTACAATGCAATGTATAATGTACTTATATACGCTGCAATGTACAATGTATAATGTGTAATGTACTTCTATAAGCTGCAATGTACATGTACAATGTATAATGTACAATGTATAAGTTGCAATGTAAATGGAGAGTCTTTAATGCTGCAATAAATGAAATCGACAGATAAAAATTCAAAGTTTCAATTGGAAACAGTCGCTAATTAGACCCTCAAACCTTCGCCATCCATGTCGAAGGACAGGGTACTGATTTCTTTTCTTTTCTTCTTTTTCTTGACATTTTTCTCTAGTTCGGCTCTCTCTTGATCAAGTTTGTGTTGTGCCTCTCTTTCTCGTAGTTCCCCGAGCGTTACCAAACCTAAAATTAAGTTTACTAGTTTATATAATGTTTCAATACACATGATGATGACGACATGATAATAGATTCATTTAGATTTGACTTTCCTACATTTTAATTCACTGTTGACGAATAATTATTATTCCCGAAGGTTACATGAACAATTGTTTCATAAGATTGTATTCACAGTGTTGCCCTTTAGCAAGGCCAGACTACAGGGTTAGCTAATAATAAATCTATGAAATTTAGCAGTAATACAATTTATTTTTGCTTCAAACTTAAGTATGAAATATTGATTTGTTATTAAGATAATTATTGGGGATTTTTAAAACAGAAATGTATTCTTACTGGCTCATCCAAGAAGTTTCATTAAATTAAATCAACAATCCCAATACTGGTTCTGCCAAATCAATCCAGTTGATAATGGTGTTTAGTGTTTTTGAAATGATATGCTCCTGTGGCTCTTACCTTCTTATGTTTTTGATTAATGAAAAAATATTATTAGCATATTTATTCTAATTGAACAAAATCTCCGAATGCAGGAAACTAAATTAGTAGAAAACGTCACCAAGTACAATTTCGGCAATTAATTCGCAATTGTTTTTTTGATGTATATTTATATAAAGACGAACAATTTAAAGCTAGCATATGACTTCATTGGTTACATCTAGACATTGGACTGAAAGTTTGTTCAAAATGGTGGTTTTATTTGGACAATTGTTGAAGTTTGCTAATATTGGTCAAGGTTAATCTACAGTTCCACCTCAACTTCTGGCCCTTTTTCCAGCGTTTGAGGATTTTTTTCTCCTGTAAAGAACAACAAAAAAAGACAAAATCATGTTTCTTCACTTGTTTAAAAGAACGAACTGAAGCTTTCATATGTACCGATGCTTAGGGAACTGAGGTTATATAACTTGTTTCCAAATTATGAAAAGTTGTCAAAACAAAATAAGACCTCAACAATAGATCGTTGCCTAAAAATTACAGCTTAAAAAATAAACTACATTTTGATTCATGAATTTAAGCAAATAACCTATTCCATTCGCTTGATAGGAGTCAAATCGTGTTTTGCCATTTTAGAAATATCATGATGGTTTGAATGTGGCTGCACATAAGTGAAATTGCAGTCCAAAAAAGTTTTCGTGTGATTCTCGAGTCGCTGCCGAGGTAAGCCATATTTAAATTATTCAATTATGGTTTTGTCAGCATCAATAGCCGATGTTTTTAAGGAAGACAATTTGTTGAATTGCACTTTTAAAGCAATTTTTCCTCATGTTACAAGCATGGTGCCCACTGTTTTCATGAAAGACTTACAACAGCACAGTTGAGAATTCAACAGTGATTGAAAATCCATGGAAGATTACATTCACCAATTTCTCTTGAGTAAGTTGAATACTCTATTTTCGACTTAAAAGTATTTATATCCGAGGTGTTGTGTTTAAAACCGAGTAAGAATCTTTTTGAAGATGAAAATTCAAAAAAAATTAATTAATTCTACATCACCTTAAGCTTAATCTGTGACAACCAGACCCGTTGTATCCTTGAAAGCGTCTCTTTCGTGTTTTGACGAAGGTTATATGCTCCTTCGTGTGTGTGCTCATTGTACCTAATGTATTGCCTTCTCAACTATTCAAGCAGGTTTCTATTTTATTATTTATTACGATAACACTTCTACAGGTGTGGGGGCAGCCTTTATCTTACTTTTGTATCACCATGAGAAGTAGCGCAATTTTGTGGCCAATTTTAACGTTGGTTTGAATAGACTACGAGGTTGTGAAGTCAATTATATATAAGAGATCGTTAACAATTTACAAAGGCTAGATATTGATTGAAGTTGGTTACATCTTAGACATTGGTTGAAGTTTGCTACATATTGGTTGAAGTTGGTTACATCTTAGACATTGGTTGAAGTTTGCTACATATTGGTTGAAGTTGGTTACATCTTGGTTACAGTTTCTCACCTCAGCTCTGCCCTTTTCCCGCTGTTTTTGGAGCTTTGCCACTCTGTTTTTCTCGGCTGTTCCGCCCGTGTAGGATGCCATGTCGCTAAAAACAAAAATACATTATTAATAAAAGACAAATTGATCATGTTTCTTAGTTAGTGTCAACTGAAAGAGAACGAACAAGCAAGCTTGTTCTATAAGTAGGCCGATAGTCTTAGGAACTGAGGTTATTTAATGATATTCAAAATTATGGAAATGTTGATGAAATGAAACAAAAATAAAGAACCCTCAAACAATAAGATTATAATACCATTAAAAAAATACCATTAAAAAAATTAAACTACACATTCTGATTCTTAAACCTCTTTACCAAATGACCATATTCCATGGTCGCTGTAGTAATAAAATGCATGTTTTTCTTATGAATTCTGACTTGTGTTGAAGTGGCTGCAGCATAATCGCACATGTCACATTTAAAAGGTTTTTCCTTTGTGTGAGTTCTTCGATGATATGACAATGCCGAGTGATAGTAAGTAGCATATTTACAATCTTTACATTTCCTGGTCTTGTCCCCAGCATGCATTAGCTGATGTTCTTTAAAGGAGAGGATGTATTTAGTGGTGAATTTGCACTTTGTACAAGCGAGATGTTTCACCTCAGTGTGTATCAAAACATGGCTTGCCAGCTGCTTCTTCACTTTGAAAGACTCCTCACATTGGTCACATTGGTAGGACTTCTCACAGTGACATTGAAAATAATGGTTCTTCAACAATTTCTCTGAGTAAGTTGAGTATTCACATTTTTCGCACTTAAAAGAGTATTTATTCCGAAGTTCGTGTGTTGCTAGATGCGCGGTCAGAGATCTTTTGTATTTAGTAGAAAATTCGCACTGATCACATGTGAACAACTTGACCTCTTGATGTGCTATCATGTGACCTTTAAGCTTAGCTGCTGTGGGGAAACTGGCAGGACAGTGCTCACACTTGAAGGAGCGTTCTCCGTGTTTGTGTCGAACATGGTGAGTATAGTTCCTTCTTGTAGTAGTGGTGTAGCTGCATTGGCTACAGCTAAATGTGACCTCTTCAACTATTTCAGCAGTAACTTTGGAGGAACCTTCATTCAGGGATGTGGCACCTTTCATCTTACTTTTGGTATCATCATTTGAGAAGTTAGAGGAATTGTTTGTTGGCTTCGAGGATGGTTTAAGTTGGTTTATAATGACAGTCCGCAGGTTTTGACAGTCAGCAGATTGTGATTTGCCAGACACGATCTTTATCTTATCTCCAGATGACATGAGACAGGAATCACCATTGTGCTTTTTCTCACAATGGTTCCTCAAGTCACGCACTTTATTAGCAGCGTAATCACAGAGCGAACATTTATGTGGTTTGTTAATATTGTCTGTGTGGGTAAGGCGATGTTTTCTTAGATTTGAGGAATCTGCAGTTGAGTAGTCGCATTTGTCGCATTTCAGCGGTTTATCACCAGTGTGAGTCAGAATATGAGCTTTCAACAGATGCGGATATTTACACGAATAGTCGCACTGTGCACAAGAAAGTTTTCTGACCTCTGTGTGAACTTTCATGTGTTCATCTAGAAAACCTTGGCGCTTAGTTGCAAAACCACATTGATCACAAATGAAAGGCTTAACCTCTTGATGTGTGAGAAGATGCTGTTTAAGATGTGAAGAAGTCCTGAAAGATGCATCACAACTCGTACATGTGTGTAGTTTATCACCATGAACCCTCAAGATGTGCTGGGACAGATTATTTTGTTTGTTGGTAAAGTAATTACATTTGCTACAGGTAAAAAGCTTGGTTTTACGCACAAGTTTTGGGGTAGACTTCTGACGATTAACGGCACAGTGAAGTCGCTTACACTCTTTAAGATGAGTAATTCTGTTGAAGAATATCTTGTGACACTGAAAATGAAATCTGTTACTTGTGGAGAGGGGATGTTGTTTTCCAAAAGCGGAAATCTTATTTAATTGTCTGTGTAATCTGTGTCTCTTGCAAAGTGATTTCTGCATGTCCAGCCGCTTTCGTTTCGTCACGTGAGTTAGATTCATTTCTTTGCTGAAAATATGTGGGAAATTCAATCAGCAGATTTTTCAAGATCATTGAGTAAATTTCAGACCTACTTCTACACCACGGGAGGGGACCCTCGCAAATGCGAGAATAAATATTCAGAAACGCAAACGAGTCATAATTTTGAAATATTTAGGCTTTCAGTATTTTTATAAGCACCCTCATATAAATTTAAAACGAACCCAAACGTATTGTCAAATGTGAGCATTAGACAGTGATTTAAAGTCATCAATTAATACAGAAACAAATCTAAGCATGTTTTAAAATGATTGATTCAAAATGATATTTCAAACGGTCATATAAAATTGAATAAAACGAACCCAAACGTATTGTCAAATGTGAGCATTAGACAGTGATTTAAAGTCATCAATTAATACAGAAACAAATCTAAGCATGTTTTAAAATGATTGATTCAAAATGATATTTCAAACGGCCATATAAAATTGAATGAGCGTCTACCATGTAAAAATAAACACCGACAACTAATAAAATAATACTTAAAAATTATTTCATTACCCTTTAAAATCACGTCATTGCCCTACAAGACACGGTACTAAAACCCATTAAAAACAACTATATAATATTGCTCACAATTAAAAAGCATCAAGACACCTCAAAAGTGCTCAATATATTCTGTATCCGTCCCAGCACTATATCATTAGTGGAATAACAAGAGTTCCTATCATAGGGTGGTCTGCAGCTCACCACACCCGCTACCACCACCTCTGATTCACCCCTCAGCTCTATGGGAACTCTGTGTTTCTCCAGATGTTCGATCAGTCTCACCTTCATCTTCTCACAGTTTTCTTTGCTGATGGTACTGATGGTTGAGGGGAAGTGTTTCTCGTCTAATTGTTTAAGCTCTGATAGTTGGACTGTGTTCATGTGTCCTGATAACAAGGTGTATTTGTTGATGTTGCTGAAAGGGATGAATGTTGTTGAAGTTTCGTCCATGAGAATGAAGTTGCGCGTTTCAGGGTCGACTGTGTAGACTCGGCCAGTAACAGTGGTTTGGTTTACAAGACTTACTTCAACCTCCTTCCCAAGCAGGTTAAGCAACTCCTGGCTATCATTGACTGACATGGTCTTCCTGAACGAGACAGAATTTTAAAACAGACATGTAAAAGACAAATTCTCATATTATAAAAGACAAATTCCCAATTTCTCAAAATCATTATGCTCATTATCATTGTGCACATTATCAATGACACTGTGCACTATGCACATTATCATTATAATGTCTGACAAGTTTGCAAATTTGCCGATCACAAAATGGCTATCAATTAGTGATTGTCATTTAAACTCGACATGTTCCGTGGAAGCTGATAATCTGTCGGTAAGATCAAAGTAGTTACGGACTATAATCCTTACTGCGTGTGGTATGTCGGCAAAAAGATCATGTTTTATTATTTGAATAGTCAAATATTACACGTAGTTTTCTCAGAAGTCGGACCATCCTGAATTTCAGAATTTGTCTCATTTCCTCTTAAGAAAAAGGTTTCTCCTGAATTTTCAAAATCTGCAAACCCCCTTGGCCCTTAAATTTATGCTAGCTTAAGAATACAATCATCTAGCAAGGTCACTGAGAATGGCACAAGACACAATTGAGGCACTGAAAATTCTATTCCCAAAGAAAGCTTCGATAAACTGACAATCATCAGAATAGAAAAAGAGATTTTCCGAAGATTTTTGAAGAGAAGCTTTTCTGCCGTTTCCTTGACCGAAATTTCACAGTTTTGGTTGAATTTTTGACCAGTGCCCAATCAGTGAGTACTGGGGTTCTTGAAACAAAGTAAAGTGATATAATGAGCTCAAGACGATTAACAATATAGCACACTGCACATGTCTCCTTCAAGCTTCTGATAATGATTTCAAGAAGCTTATTGAGTATGGAGGATATTATACTTATGATAGAGGATTTTATCATCAAAGCCATAAAGATCAGACAGACAATTAGCAGCTAACCTGAAAGGTCCACATTTTCCCAGTGTACTAGCAAAACCAGACCAACCACTTAACAATGTAGACTACAGCTATCCAAGTAATTAAACTAGGAACACTCAAAACTTCTACTGAGTAGTCTCGAGGACCCTTAGGACCCTCTCCGAGCTCATAAATTAGTTGACCTTCATATTTTGTATGTTCTGTTATCCACAATGTACGGTGCTACTGTCTTGTTGTTAGTTATCTGCCACATATTTACTGTAAGTACAGGTGATGTGAAGTACAGTGAATATGAGGAGTACAGAGGTTGTGTTAATGTGGGCCACAATGGGGAGGAGTGTGCTAATTGGTTGCTGGCTAACAACTGGGGTGATGATCAGTTCATTGCTAAGATAAGGCTCTACAAAACGGTTGGTTATATTGTTTTTAGTTGTGTGCTCATTTTCATAAGCTGAGGTTTTATTTTTGATTTTAAGATAATTATAATTACGAAATCTTCAAATTATTAAGATAAAATTGAAGGAGATAATAATATGATTGTAAATGTAATTGTGTTCACTTTACAGGAATAGGTGACCACAACTATTGCAGAAACCCAGAAGGACAGCGCTCTGGTCTGTGGTGCTACAATAAGAATAGGATTAAGGAAAAGGTATATTGTCCTATGAATAAGTGCGTCATCGACCCTAAAGATGATCCAAAATGCCCAGAGAACCTGAAACAAGCATCACGCTCAGCGTCAACACCAAAAGAATTTGCATTGAAGCCACAACCAAGACCATCTCCTGAAGTCACTATCACGTATGCTATGATAGGCGATACATTAACTCTTCAATGCAGGAGCAAGTTCAGCGACGGTCTATGGCAGACTGGGCCTGGACTGAAGAAACCCACCACGAACAACTTGGTAATCAGTCCGGTGAAGGCGGAGTCTGGAGGTGATTGGAAGTGTAGCAGCCGGGGAAGATCGTACATCACCAGAGTTATTGTTTGTCGCATGATCTGGTCAGAGTGTAAGTTGGTCGGAAGGAGGGGGATAAGGAGTGGAAATAACAGTTGTTCAGGTGAGCTGATCAAGAAGGATATGGTTTGTGACCCGGGAAAAGTGGGCGATTATCTTACCAAACAAGATGATCCTCGTAATGGAACCAGGAGTAAAAATCTAAGGAGAGGGAATCCAGCAATGGTCAAACTCGAAGAGGATGAAGCAAGACAGCAACTAGGAACTGAGTCAACTTTCTCTTCAGTCGGGTTCTGTGAAAAGCACGCCGTTGTTTGTGGTGTTGCACAAGGATATTTTATTGGCTTTCTTTTCATGTCTATCATTTTAATAGCGGTGTTTTATGTAAAGAGATCTCGACAGAGACGGTCTCGGACCATTTTATCAGAAGTCAATGGCATGGCTATTGGCTAATCATGCAATGGTTACCCTCCAGTCTCCAAGCCCAAGTTGATTAAAATATCAACTGAATTACCTGTAGAAATTATGCTTCCTGACTATTTCAAGCTCAGACTATTAATTATAGCTTGAACTACCATCACTGATATAGACGGAGGATAATATAAACTAAAATAATCCAATATCTCATGTAGTTGTAAATATGCTCTGAATATAGTAGTCGTAGATTGGCACAATTAATGTGTTGAACCACCAAAATTCTAGTATTACCATTCGTATGATATTCTGTTTCTCAGTTGAATGAGTATATATAAATATAATATTGATTTTATCGTATGATTACAATCTCATTAGATTTTTCTGTTCGAGATAACCCAGGCAAATTCCACCAAGTATAATGAATAGAAATTAAAAAGTTATCATCTGTAAAAATGATATATATATATAAAGTGTTATTTTGAGCTTTTAAAATCAGTGTATTTACTACTTATCAATCTATTAGTATCTTGAATTATACTGTAGAACTTGAGGATTTTGCAATTAAAGTAAAGAGGAATTTTGAAGGTTAAATCTGTCATTGAGTACTCAGCATTTAGGAACTTAAATCTAAAGATCATAATAATTGTGTGTAGTCTAAAGAAATTTGATATCCAACTGGCAATGCCTTTCATCACCGCCATGTGATCGACCAGGAATTCCAGGACACTGACCTTACAATGGTTTTACAAACCCAAAAAAATGTCCTATGAGTAGCAACTAGTAATGCATAGTACAACTACATGGTGATCATGTCAGAACAGTAAACCTTTCCATCCACATTTCTCAAATTTTCCCTCATTTTGATCTTCGTAATGATCCACTACATTATATTTGCACTATTCTTCGTCCACCCTATTCGGATGGTAAATGCAGAATGCAGCTACGCGACGGACAACATGACAGCCTATAGAGGGTGTGTTAATACCGGTCATAATGGTGAGGAATGTGCTAACTGGATGACCACCTGCTACTGGGGTGATAGCCAGTTCATTACTGAGGATACAGCTACAGGAAATGGTAAGATAGTGAGGGGGCGGGGGGGGGGGGGGGGTTCAAAACTAGTTTTTTTATTTCAGATTATGGGGTTAGACATTTAACATAAGTAGAAGCACAAATTAAATGCTGAAACCAATCTCACGCATTAGTTTCCCAATATTCAACCTCTGGAAATTATTTCAGGGATTGGAAACCACAACTACTGCCGTAACCCGGGAGGACTCCGGTTTGGACCGTGGTGCTACCGCAAAGGCTACGACAAACTCAAGATTTACTGCACAGTTATAGACAGTAACTGTGCGGTTGATTGTCAGGGATCTGAAGCCCCGGTGAAATCAACATGTCCGACAGCAGAAGAAAACAAAGAAGAGGATGAGGGACAGGGGGCTCCTCCGTTTTGCCAGAACAACCAAGTTCCCTGCGGCATGATTGGATTTGCAGTTACAGCCGTTTTGATATTAGCAGCTGTTTTCGTAAGAAATTCACTTAGGTGGAAAAAAGAAGCCAAAGCACGCAAAGCCAAAGCACTGAAAGCTAATCTTCCAGCCAATGATACGATGACATCCCACATCTCCCACGTCTCTCAAGCTCATCTCACCGGAACACAGAGGGTTAGATTGGGAGTGGAACGGTTAAGAAAGCTCTCAATAGAAGACCTTCTAACAAGAATGGGCACAAAAACAACACAACCCCCGAGTCAACCCCCGAGTCAACCCCTGAGTGGGGTCCCCAGTGTCAGTGATAATGACACTGTACATTTTAGGAACAGGACCGAGCAGGGCCTCACAGTGGCGGTTCCAACACTGGAATTCACGAGGGTCAACAAAAATGTCCCCAGCAGCATGTTCAACAACTCAGAGGAGTTCATCAGCCATTTCGGTAGTGCCTCACATTTTGGTAGTGCCTCCCATTTCGGTAGTGCTTCTCATTTTGATAGTGTCTCTCTCGATGATGATCCACATGCTGCATATCCCAAATATGGTTCCCATGAGTTTGACGTTGATCCGGTAGAGGTGTTTGGGGATGCTGTGAGGACTGGAGGAGGGGCAATGTTTGATGGGTACTACGATCAGGATGTTGATAAATGGGGCTCTGAGGAGGAGTACCAGATTTGAAGAGAAGATCTACGAGGATTCAACATGACTTTTTTAAATATTGCTTTATGGATTGAAGTTAGAATTTTAACTGCCTTTTTAGCATTTCCAACGCATGTCATATCTTCTGAATACTCAATACAGTCTATGTTAGTCCAACATTATTCCAACTGTCTGGGTTCAAGAGCATCAAATTTTGAACTACGGTCAGCTTCCGCTTATATTTCATATTCATAATGCCCATTACCAGGTTGTTAAAAAAGCATTTCGAGCTTAAAGTCTCTTATCTCATTTTCCATTTTGGGAAGATCTTATAATAAGGGTCACAAGTTGTCATTAATAACAGCTATTGGATGCGATCTCCTTCATTGTTCCTACCGGACATTATATTCATATCCCCGAAAAGTAGCGAAGACTGAGTGTTGTGTCTTGGGAACATGTTGCCAAACGCTTATTGAATATTGAGTCGCCTTGTTGTGTCTTGGGAACATGTTACCAAACGCTTATTGAATATTGAGTCGCCTTGTTGTGTCTTGGGAACATTTTAACAAACGCTGATTGAGTCGCCTTGACTTCGCCTTGTTGAGCAGCGCGTATCACATCACTACATTGTTTCATAAAGAAACTTTCGTACATTGTAAGACATAATATCTTGGCTTATATTTGTGCTTTGTAAGACATAATAATATCTTGGCTTATACTTGCACAGCACTCAATAGCCACGTTTCATATTCTGGTTATAACTTATAGTTCAGTGATGTTTTAGAGTATTTTGATTTTTGAATTCGTAATTTCATTTGTTCAGGACGTTACAGAAGAAATTGATTTAATGTAGTCCGAGGAGTCCTAATCCTTCTTGCGCACTAAGATGGCGTTTCTCTTGTCTCATATATAACTAACTGTAAGAAGTCGGAAAAAGAAGCAGAACTTACGAAAATAATTCAGTCTGAAAAAAAAAACCTCAACGAATATGATTTCACAGGTTATCCCTGATAGAGAAACAGTACTTCACGATATTAATATTGTGATTTTAGGTTTGTACTCTTGTACTTACAGAAATACTAATATATAATCAATACTAATAATCCCAGAATGTCTGTCTGTCTGTCTGTGGGTAATTTCCGAGCGGTTTAATCAAGAAAACGGTAAGAGTTATGGGGCTGATTTTTTCGGTATAGTGCCGACAAAACTCTGACGAAGCCAAATGATTAAGGTTTTTCAAATCGGTCGGTGGTAAGTCGTTTAATTGATGGTTTTGTACTGCAAATGTGATATTAAAGTGACTCACTTTTTGTCCCTCTCTCCCACCTTCTCTCTCACTCTCTCTCCCCATTTACAGCTCCCCTAATTACTGCTTTGTACATAATTAGGTAATTTGGCAGTGGAGCCTATTAAGTATTATTATTGGATACGTATAACGTGATGGGCGCTCAGAATTAAATTTACTCTAATGCGGTCGGTTTCAACTGAGCGAGCTTAGACTTTTGCACAATTTTAACTTTTGCGCTCGTTATATTTTTGCAATTCAACTGCGATAGTAAAGTCCCGGCCGTAGGGACGGGTTACACTAGTTTACTATATTGTCGAGGGGAAATGGTGCAGGAGACCACTTACTCCACGATGGCATCTGATACAATACCATACTATATTGCAGATGTACTGCGGTAAAATTAAACCATAATTATACTGCCAGGATTGGTTTCAATATTTTCCAATGCCGAGCTCTTTTATTTATAAATATAAATATCAAATGACCCATTTTCAAGAAAATAGCTGAATATCTCATGGCTGGGCTCCTAAGGAAGTTCTTATTGTTGTTTTGTTGAATTTTAAACTTCCAGCATTCCTAGATCCAACCAAAAATAGTTCAACCAAAGAAACTGTTGACATATAATATCACCGATGGTACATTTTAAATGACGAAGAAATATCGGGTTTTCAATAGTATCAACCTAAAATGGCATCCTTAACCTTGATTTTCCATTACGCTAAAGTCTATTTTAGAATTGGAATCCTCGTGATTATCTGATGAATCTGTTGCACAGTGACAGAACTGGTATCATCATACCCACAAAGACAAGACTGCGTGACTCTAACACTTCATACTCAACAGACATATTCGCCCACAATTTGAGCCTCCAACATTAAGTCAGCACTACGATGCCAAATCACGGGATTACCCACCCACAGTTGACAATTTTTGAGTATTTTCTCAAGCGATTGTCTAGGTATGAAGGTTTAAAGTGTACTAAAATGTACTCTCCAAATAATCTCAAATCGTACGGTGAGCAGCTTGACTAGACTCGTGATGTGGGTAATCTTAAAATTTTTGTACCACACTTTCTCTACTTGGATTTGTCGCGATGGTAATAGCTGTGTTTGTTATTTGCCTTTTTGCCACTGTGACCGCAGACTGCACGTATGATAGTGTTATAAGTTACAGAGGATGCGCTAACAGTGGTCACAACGGTGAAAGATGCTGGAACTGGCTACAGGCCAACAAATGGGGTGATGACGAGTTTATAACAAGAAATGAGGCTGCAGAAAATGGTTAGTTCTCTGTCGTAGGACAGTTCTCGTTAAACTGTTTGGTTTTACCACTAATCTGATACTGACCACCACAATTTACTGCCCAATACTTAATTATAGTCGCCTCATTAAATCTAGCAACTTCCCTATTGTGAGTTTTGTTTTCATTGAAACCTCATTGTACCTACGTATTTGACAGATTTTTAGTCAATGTTTCTTTTCAGGAATCGGTGACCACAACTACTGCCGCAACCCGGGAGGACTCCGTTTTGGAGCGTGGTGTTACAGGGCTTACACTAATATAAAGGTCTATTGTGCCGGTGTGGATTATGAGAACTGCATCACCCGGCCAGAGGACGACTCAAAGTGCCCACAAAAAACTCAGCCAAGGGAAGGAACGATAGAAGAACCAGCCAGAACCACAGCCAGAACCACAGCCAGAACCACAGCCAGAAATACAGCAGATGAACGCAATGATAGGTGACACACTAGATCTGGAGTGTGTAGGAGGATGCAGCGAAATCGTGCAGTGGGAATCTAGACCAGGACTGAATGAAGGCAGAAAGAACTCCAACAGGTTCACTGTAAACCCAGTAACAGCGGAGACAGCAGGGAACTGGAACTGCAGGTGTGGGAAGAGACGGTTTGTGAAAGTTGTGAAGACCTGCACCATGACATGGTCAGATTGCCGACAAGATGGAGGGAAGTGGATCACAGAGGGGACAAACAGCTGCACTGGAACATCATTCCACAGCTGCACCCCTAGACGTGAAGAAGAGAATTCTTCTGAACAAGATGAGGCAGATACTCATGGTTCCCCGGTGGAATCCAATGATTATGAAGGAAGGCCCACTGAAGATGCTGTTGATCCACAGGCACGAAAAGATGGAAGAGGTGAGGAGGAGGAAGGTTCCTGTACAGGTGCCAAGTGTGGTTTCTGTAACAGAAACTCTCTAATCTGCGGCGCTATAGGATGCTTTGGGGGAGCAATCACAGTGATAGCAGCTGTTTTTGTGAGGAAATCTCTCAGTGGAGAAGAGAAGCAAAAGAATTCCGCTCCAGCAGTGGAGGCACAATGGAAACACACCTGACTGCAACACAATCCTTCTCCAGACAAACAGCTGACAGGAACCACCTGGACTACGAGCGGGCCCTGCAGATAGAAGACCTGGTCTCACGGATTGGCACACAACACAAGGATTCCAACCTTAGCTGTTCCACCAGCGCAACCAACACCCTCAATCTCCGTCACCTCAGGGAACATGATCAGTTGGGTAGGATTCAGTCAAAGGAGCTACAGAGCACCGACAACATCGCTTGTCAAAGATTTGAGGACAGCGAGGTGTTGATAAACCATTTTGCTGGAGCCCACCCCGGGGAGGAAGGGATGGTGTACCAGGAGGAACCGGTTCAGTGGAAGAGGAGCACACTTACGAGCACGATGGAGAGACCAAGGCTAGAGGACGCAGCTAGACACCGGGATGGGACACTTACGAGCACGATGGAGAGACCAAGGCTTGAGGACGCAAACAGGCACAGGGATGGGACACTTACGAGCACGATGGAGAGACCAAGGCTTGAGGACGCAAACAGACACAGGGATGGGACTCTGTTTGACAAGTATTATGATCAGGACGTGGACAAGTGGAGCATCCAGGAGGAAGTAGAGATATAGAAAACTAGTTTTAGTTTTTATGGGATAGTGGTTTTATCCTTTTGTCGATTTTGATATCGCGCCATCAATCACGATCATGATTTTTTCATACATGCATTTTCTATCTAGAAAATATCTAAAGTTTCAAGGTCAATACAGGACTCAGGGCTTTGTTTTTGTTTTTTTCTGAAATGGATAATTTTATATAAGTACATTAGCCAGTAGCCACTGATCATACCAAAGTCAGGCTTTTGTTTAGAAAGTTGATGAATATTTTTTTCTGATACCAACAGAATTGTTTTGTATAATACTTTATTTTTACGTTATGTATCTGAAAGTCATAGGCTTCAATGCATTTATTTTTAACGCTGTTCGATTTTTTTAAATACAGATATTTTACTTCTTTATATCGCAATCCAGAACGAATACAATCTTCAAAAAAGGGGTTCAGGGGTTGTTCACGTATTACGTAATCAGCCGAGGGGGGAGGGCCAGGGTGTTCCCAAATTATTACGCTAGTGTAATTTTGACACAATAGCTATGTGTAAAACTGATTACGAAGGGGGGAGGGGGTTAAAAACTGTCCTAAAACTGAACACACACAATGTTCATTATGGTTTGTGGACTCATCAAAATGTAAATAAGATCATCGCTAAAAATAACGTTCCAAGTTAGAAGCTGGAATTAAACGTCAATATGTTTTATTTTAACTTTACTGGCTTAAAAGTAAAGTCGGTTCAAATATATTTAGCAAATATATTGAGCCGTTCGATGCTTCGAAGCATCGAACGGCTCAATATATTTGCTCAGTATAATAATTTTTTACATATTATCGAGATCTCGATAATATGTAAAAAATTATTATACGAGCTATAGTCCAATGAATCGTGGAATGGATTGCTAAAATATTCAACGAACAAACTATAACTATTCGATTCACAACACAATAGAGCAGATCACATGGCTGATAGATTATGCTTGTGGCTTCTTTAATCTTACCAGAGACCTTCTCAGCATAGCACTTGACCGTCAAGTGAGTTATCACGAGGAGCAGGTCCTGCTTGACTTGTCATGTTACCTCAGCTAGCTGAGGTAACATGTCAAGCAGGACCGTCCTGTTGGTGGGGAGTATAAACCAATAACTATTAAATTATGCAAAATATAGTAGGATATATTACTGAAATATGAAGATTTGCATGCTAAAGATTTTATCAACATGCAATTGTTTCAGTAAAAGGCCTTAGCTGGACCAGGAATATAATTAATACAATATTAAATCCATGCATTATATTCGATGCACCGTTTAATACTTGCATATATATTAATCGTGCAACTGGTTTGCAAAGTTTGCACTTCCCTTCAAGACTGAATCGTTTCGTTGATCAAAGTTGCTACTCACGAAATAATATGTACTAAATAAATTGCTGTTCATAAGGAAGCAGTTGTTTATATTAATTGAAGCGTTCTGATTTGTTTTCTTTAAATAGGGCCTGGTTGTAACACGAAGTAAAGTAAAACCCCGATTTACCGTTCCTAGATTGACCACGGCCATTTCCATCGCCCAAATACGTGATTTTCAAATGTCAGGGTTGTGAAGAATTATTACCCCGATTCACAGCGAAACCTAATTATTGTGACTGTTTCATTTTCCTCAAACTTCGCGACAAATGGGGTTTTACTGAACTACTAGTACAGTACTACTACTAGTAGTACTATAGCAATAGCTAGTAGTACTAGCTTTAGTTAATCAATATTTACAAGTGTTATGTATCAGTTTTAATTCATGCTTTAATTCGTGAATACTCTTATCTGCTTTAGTGGATACAATGTCTGCTTTAATACACTGCCTTTTACACTTCCCAACAATGGGACTTGTATAACTGCCAACTGGGTATATATATCACGTTGAACAATGCTATAATATTAGTAATATTAGTAATATCAGTTATAAAGCATACAAATATTTACAGATAATGGGCTCAGCTCCAAGTAGAGCAGTATTCGCGGTCAGTAGTGATGTCTATCATGTGTACCTCCACACTGGTTGCAAGCTGCCACAAGCCAACACGATAAAAAAGATCGACGGTACTATAAAGATCACCATTAACCCCGGTGCTAACGAAGACGACGATCCTGAAGCAACGGTTTGTCAGTCGAAAATACTGAAAATAAAGGAAAAATTCTCTTCTCACAGCGAGGGAACAGTGGACGTTGAGTTTTGGGTACCGAAAGAGGAACGAGTTGGTGAGCCAAAACTTCTAAAAATTGAGTTGGATGGAGGTTCATGCAGCTGCATTTGCACGAAAGACCCTCTTTACATTCGAGAGGTAACAGTGATGTGGGATAATAAAACCTACAGGTTCCCCATACACAACTACCTTAGTCCATACACCCCCTCTAGATCCTGCTGTGGGTCTAAAGAAGATGGCACTCCCCAGCAAGGATGTGTTCCATATCTTTATGCAACGCCAGGACACGGTACTCTGAAACACAATGAAACGGAAGATTTCATATTGAGAGCCAGGGAGAAAGATCACAACATCACCCATTCAATGATGCCCTGGGAAAACGCGGATAAAGTAGGACCAATACCTAGCTGGATTGATGTGAAGGGTGGTGAGTACGAGAACCTGCCTAGGTTCCTCCAATTCCGAGATGCTTGGCTGGATGCCTTCGAAGGAGCGAGAGACGCAGGTGAGGATAAGATGAAATGTCCTGTTATCCTCAACAAAGTTTGTAGTTGCTGTTGCGGCGGGCCTCCTCAACGCAACTTCAAATCATTCACCGACTATGCAGACTCCTTCACTAAGATGGGTGAATCTGTAGGATGGAATAAAAAAGACATTCAGGACGGTCTGAAGGTGGGCCAAATTTTCCATCACGACGCAGAGTTTGCCCGTCAAATCATTCAGGGTCCGAACTCGACGAGGTTAAGGAGAGTGGAAAATCTTTCCGACACATGGCAGGAGGCAATTGACAAAGACATGCTCCCAACATATGCAATTGATGGAGAAGATCTTAATGCTGTCATCAAAGATGGACGACTTTTTGAAATATTGTATTCAGAAATACTGAATGATATCGGCCATGGCGGTGAGAAGAGCAAATTTATAACTGGAACAACACAAACATGGTACGTAGTTCAAGCCGACTGTCTACTTTTCCAGAGTAACACGCGTCCTAAGGACGAATCTTTTGTCCCCGTCTTGATACGTTTAGAAAATAAGAATGATGGGGAGAAACAAACCTGGTGGCATCCAGCCGAGAACGATACCAGTATGACTGATCCGAAGTACTTGTCTTGGCTTCTAGCCAAAATGTATTTTAGATGTGCTGATTGGGGAATCTACAGCATTGGAACTCACTACGCAAGAGCACATGCCATGAATGAGGTGTTTGCCTCGTCCATGTATCGCAATCTACCAAGTGCTCATCCCTTGCTTAGACTTCTACAGCCCCATTTCCAAGGAATCATCGGAATCAATATGCAAGCAAGGAAAGTTCTAATCAGTCCAACAGAAAATGCCTTTGCTAATTTTATGTCTTCCGGTGATGATCTGCCTCAACTACTGGTAAACTGCTGTAAAGAGCTGGACTACGAACACTTAGTCATTCCTAAAGACTTTGAAAGCAGAGGACTTAAAGATCTGCCAAACTTCTTTTTCAGGGATGATTCAGAGGATTTGTGGATGATCCTACTAGACTACGTTAAAAACATGGTGGATTTGTCCTATCTGAGCGAAGATGACGTCTCTAAAGATACCGAATTGCAGAAGTTTGTGGAAGAAATCAGAGGTCCTGGCTTTGAAGGGTTTGGTGGAGCAGGTTTCCCAGAATCTATCGAAACTAAAGAAAAGTTGGTTGAATATCTCACTGCGCTCATTTTCAATGTGTCTTGTTTCCACACAGGTGTAAACTTCCAGACCAACAAATACCTGGGCCACCTTGTTAACGCACCACCAAGTCTCAGACTGCCACCACCAGAACAGGACGATGTGATCACCATGGAGCGTATCATGAACAGTCTCCCACAATACGAAGTCGCTCTGGCAACCATGGTCATCATAGGGGTACTAAGTAACTTCTCTCCAATCGAGCGATTTTATGTGGAGACAAAAGCAGAAAATAGGCAAGGATATCTGGGAGAAAACTTGGCCGTTTCGCTGGAGCAGGAGGGCCATATTAAGGATATGGTGAAGGAAATGGAGAAGCTCAGGGACAAAATAGCAGACAGAAATAAAGGGAAGTATTTAGCGTATGATGTGTTGAGCCCTAACAACATTCCCATCACCACCCAGACATGATCAACTGAGAATGTAAAATCCGGATCGGAACATTATTTAGGACTAGGAGTAGCACAGTTGAAATGTTTCTTAGGTAAAAATGTGTATTGTTTTTGTTTTTGTTTGTTTCTATGTGTTGTCACTGCATTTCAATATTGAGTTCTGATTATTTGTACATGATTTTCCCCATTCGAATTTTGATTCCTTGTTTGGCGAGTTTTGAGACATTGGTCTGTTTTAGTTCATAAAAGTTTTTCCACGAAGATCTCAATTACCGGAAAATTAGATTGAATTTAAAAACTTTTATAAAAAAGTATAGTGAACGATATAAATCCGCTCGAGTTAAAGTTAAATTTTGTAACGTATATGCCGAGAACTTTAAAATATGTAAAAATGAATTAAAACTCACAAGAGAAGCACACCCCAATTAACAGTGAATTCAGGCTACCACAGTGAGTGAACATCGATCATTTTGGAACATTCTATCCTGTAAAGTAGAGGGTATTTAGTAAGAGTGCTCAAATCATAGTTCCACAAGGCAAAAGCTTGATGCCACCTGTTAAAATCAATAGTTTCACGTCGTCTATCCATCAGGGTACACACTTCTACAACAAGTTCACTACGTACGCGCGTGCATAAGTGCTGGCGGTACGCGCGCGAGGACGACTGAGAGCTTGGTGAATGTCTTTCGCGCGCGACATGAATCAGAAGACGTTTCCCTGAATTTTGTAGTGGATTTTGTAGTGGATTTTGCGCGCCGCACGTACGTTACAATATTTATTATTGTAGAATCTACGACGGTAGCCGTCAGAGTTCTCAATAAACTGCTCGTACTTATACTTTTATATACACTTATAAGATATGAAAATCTAAGTAACACATCCAACCCCACTCAGGCCGCCCATCCCAAATAGCTTGAAATCTGTGACAAATCCCTAAAAATCCAGAATGAGAATCTTTACCCCTGGGCCTTGAAGGGGATTTGTGTTGCTGAGTATTTGAAACATGTTTTGGTGGTTAAATATGTAGTACATATCCCAAACCATCACTAAGACCAAGTTTTAAGCTCTTGAACCACTCAAGCCACTCCCAGAGGCAATGCCAATCCCAAAATTACTCTGAAATCCAGCTAAAATCCAGATCAAGAATCTTTACTCCTGTAGTGCTTTTCTGCTCCGGGGTAGGTGGGATATGTTTTAGTGTAAAAATGGGTAGTAGTTAGTACCTGTCCCAAACCATCAGAAAAACCAAGTTTATAAACTTTACTTCGAAAGACATAATAATTACTGTAAGACGTATGTTCAATTGTATTGGTATTATAGATAATCATAATAATTCATCTGTTCATTTTGCTATCTAGACGCCAGTTAGGACGTCATCATGGCAATAGAAACTGCACATGGCCATGTCGCACTGCCTTTAGAACACGTATGTATTTCTCGTGGGCCATGAACATTGAACACGGAACAAATTCTATTGAGCGAAAATGAAGCTTAAAGGAATTTCATCGTATTTTTGTATAAACCGATGATTCTGATTTTAATAACTGATCTTCTATCCATATTTCAAGAGAAACCGTCCCACCTAATAGCCAGTTACTAATCAACCAACAACAACAAAATCCACTCACAAATCAGGCGTCACGAAACAAAACCAACGAGCCAACTAAACGATACATCACGAAAAACTCATTAACAGCAACTTTTCTACAATCTACCTGTTTTTTCACTGTCATCCCACTATCTACAAAATTCCATATCAAATTTGCACCTTATAAAGTTATAACTACAGTCAAATATGAGATAAGGATTAAGATAAAAACGGGACTTACTCTTTATAGATAGAGTCTAACCAATCCCCCAATTTGGCAATTCAACTAGAAGACGATACATCATGCAAAACTCATAAACAGCAACTTTTATACAATCTACCGATTTTTCACTGTCATCCCACTATCTTCAAAATTCCATATCAACTTTTCTACAATCTACCGATTTTTTCACTGTCATCCCACTATCTATAAAATTCCATATCAGATTTGCACCTTATAAAGTTATAACTACAGTCAAATATAAGATAAAGATTAAGATAAAAACGGGACTTACTCTTTATAGTCTAACCAATCCCCCAATTTGGGACTTCGAACGTTTTAATTTAAACTCTTACAGGTGGGGGGGGGGGGCAAAAGTCAAGGCACATAAGTTGGCCCTAATAGCTCAATCACTGACTGCCTGATTGGGCAATCAGTGACTAATTTTGCTATCGACATAAACAACTTGCTTGATAAGCAATTCAATGTTGATCCCCCCAAAAATCGAATTTTTCAAGTTTGGTTGGCGAATCATCTAACGATCAGTCAGAACTGTTCCAAGTCTCAAATATGAAACACGGCAGTAGAAATACGGTGATAGCTAGTGTAATGTAGGATTAGAAGTACACATAACCCATTTAATTGTACAAGTGAGTATTTCTAATTTATTGGATCTCTTGATTATTTATGGAACAAATAATTACAGCTACCAGTTAACCTAGACTTATTACTAATACTTAAATAAAGTAGTGGGTAAGTATCGCATAGTTCGTATCCAGTATCCACAGTTGAAATGATAATTCAGTCAAAAATCCCCATCAACATAACGTTCAAATGATCAATTTCTATGAAATTCCACCAGATGTATATAATCATGTTAAATCGTGCTAAAAACGGTTGAACTTACTTACATATCAGTCGACACTCATCACGTTTATCTTATCTCTCTTATCTTATTTCATCAGGAATAACGGTTTTTTTTTCTCTTGCATTCAATATAATGCTCATAGCTGTACCGTTTAATTGTGCTCGCTTAACCAATTTTCATTAAACACTCTCTTAACAGTTTACATGCTACAATACAGTACTTTTACGTTGTACCATACTACTTCACGTACAGGGTGAGCCAAAATACAATGTGCAAACGTTTCGTTTTACACCTCCGCCGTGTTTTATATTCGAGAGCTATTGCTTTGCAGACTGTAACTTCTTGTTTGAGGATTCTGTCGCCAAAATTTGAAAATACGAATATTCTATGAAAAAGGGTTCCAAACCATCATAAAAATCAAGTTTCGACCTCTCAACCCACTCAGGCCACTCCCAGGGGCCACGCCCATCCCAAAATGACCGAAATCCAGCTAAAATCCAGACTTTAAAATCTTTACCCCTGTAGTGCTTTTATGTTCCGGGGTAGGTGGGACATGTTTTAGTTTAAAAATGGGTTTTACCTGTCCCAAACCATCATAAAAATCAAGTTTCGACCTCTCAACCCACTCAGGCCACTCCCAGGGGCCACGCCCATCCCAAAATGACCGAAATCCAGCTAAAATCCAGACTTTAAAATCTTTACCCCTGTAGTGCTTTTATGTTCCGGGGTAGGTGGGACATGTTTTAGTTTAAAAATGGGTTCTACCTGTCCCAAACCATCATAAAAATCAAGTTTCGACCTCTCAACCCACTCAGGTCACTCCCAGGGGCCACGCCCATCCCAAAATGACTGAAATCCAGCTAAAATTCGGACTTTAAAATCTTTACCCCTGTAGTGCTTTTATGTTCCGGGGTAGGTTGGACATGTTTTAGTTTTAAAATGGGTTCTGCCTGTCCCAAACCATCATAAAAATCAAGTTTCGACCTCTCAACCCACTCAGGCCACTCCCAGGGGCCACGCCCATCCCAAAATAACTGAAATCCAGCTAAAATCCAGACTTTAAAATCTTTACCCCTGTAGTGCTTTTATGTTCCGGGGTAGGTGGGACATGTTTTAGTTTAAAAATGGGTTCTACCTGTCCCAAACCATCATAAAAATCAAGTTTCGACCTCTCAACCCACTCAGGCCACTCCCAGGGGCCACGCCCATCCCAAAATTACCGAAATCCAGCTAAAATCCAGACTTTAAAATCTTTACCCCTGTAGTGCTTTTATGTTCCGGGGTAGGTGGGACATGTTTTAGTTTAAAAATGGGTTTTACCTGTCCCAAACCATCATAAAAATCAAGTTTCGACCTCTCAACCCACTCAGGCCACTCCCAGGGGCCACGCCCATCCCAAAATGACCGAAATCCAGCTAAAATCCAGACTTTAAAATCTTTACCCCTGTAGTGCTTTTATGTTCCGGGGTAGGTGGGACATGTTTTAGTTTAAAAATGGGTTCTACCTGTCCCAAACCATCATAAAAATCAAGTTTCGACCTCTCAACCCACTCAGGTCACTCCCAGGGGCCACGCCCATCCCAAAATGACTGAAATCCAGCTAAAATTCGGACTTTAAAATCTTTACCCCTGTAGTGCTTTTATGTTCCGGGGTAGGTTGGACATGTTTTAGTTTTAAAATGGGTTCTGCCTGTCCCAAACCATCATAAAAATCAAGTTTCGACCTCTCAACCCACTCAGGCCACTCCCAGGGGCCGCGCCCATCCCAAAATAACTGAAATCCAGCTAAAATCCAGACTTTAAAATCTTTACCCCTGTAGTGCTTTTATGTTCCGGGGTAGGTGGGACATGTTTTAGTTTAAAAATGGGTTCTACCTGTCCCAAACCATCATAAAAATCAAGTTTCAACCTCTCAACCCACTCAGGCCACTCCCAGGGGCCACGCCCATCCCAAAATTACCGAAATCCAGCTAAAATCCAGACTTTAAAATCTTTACCCCTGTAGTGCTTTTATGTTCCGGGGTAGGTGGGACATGTTTTAGTTTAAAAATGGGTTTTACCTGTCCCAAACCATCATAAAAATCAAGTTTCGACCTCTCAACCCACTCAGGCCACTCCCAGGGGCCACGCCCATCCCAAAATGACCGAAATCCAGCTAAAATCCAGACTTTAAAATCTTTACCCCTGTAGTGCTTTTATGTTCCGGGGTAGGTGGGACATGTTTTAGTTTAAAAATGGGTTCTACCTGTCCCAAACCATCATAAAAATCAAGTTTCGACCTCTCAACCCACTCAGGTCACTCCCAGGGGCCACGCCCATCCCAAAATGACTGAAATCCAGCTAAAATTCGGACTTTAAAATCTTTACCCCTGTAGTGCTTTTATGTTCCGGGGTAGGTTGGACATGTTTTAGTTTTAAAATGGGTTCTGCCTGTCCCAAACCATCATAAAAATCAAGTTTCGACCTCTCAACCCACTCAGGCCACTCCCAGGGGCCACGCCCATCCCAAAATAACTGAAATCC